ATACAGAAACGAATTAGCATTCAAACTGTCCATCCCTCAGAAAGCCAATGGCATTTGTGCATTTTCTCCGTATTGTTCAAAAGCATTCGTAAAAAAACCCTTTGTTCAGTTGGTACGCCATCTTTTGCGATGCTTCCTTGGTAATGCTGAGCAGAGATTACAATTCAATCTATAATAGTTCGAAATTTCTGGAGTGGTAATGAGGATGGACTTCTTCACTGAATTCCCTCACATTTTGCTAGGAATATGGTGTGAACTTTATTTTTGGGGCTGCATATCCCATCTATTTTATCATTCAGTTACTCGTTGCTGGTGAAACTTCTTCATAATCGTCCTGATCAGTTTTCAAGTCGAGACTGGGAAATAAATTTCATTTGGACTGCATCTAAAACTTTGTATTATTGCTACTTTGTGCATTATTTCTTAAATGAATTTTTTAAGGTTTTTTTTCTCCCTCCTTTGAACATATCGTCGTGATGTAACAGCACACTCGATGCATATTCGAAAGGTCCAGGTTCGATTCCTAGCAAGGGCCTTGCTCATTTTTCATGTCCCTTGCTTGAAGAAAAACTAATGACTCTATATCTTACATCTGAAAAGTACTATGAATATGTGCAGTTTTTAACTTGCATTGTAGAAAAGGAGATAGGTTGAATCCCGAATTTTCTCAATATTTTTTTCTAATCCTGAACGGTTTTTCAGAGTTATCTTGAATTCTATAAATAAGAAGAAAGAGGGGGAAGTAACATTTACATAATATGCAAAGTTTTTATATAAATCAAAATTTGCGTTTTATGAAAATTATTTAAGAATACATTTTTTAAAATACACTTATATTTGCTAATTAATATGAATGAAGTACGTAATTAAACTTTTGAATCATGAGATTCATTTTCTTAACATAGTTTGACAAACGTATTTGAGTCACACTACAGTTTAAAAATCAGTAGCCATGGCTGAATATTCTGGCAGATTTCGTTGGATGCCATTCTGAAACATTGTAGGATCGTCACAAGGTGATTTTAATACTTTAAAATATTGTACTTTGAAGCTGCAACAAACGTGTTCTTTTATTGAAAATTTCTATGAAACGTCAATAAAACTATCTTTCCAAAGTTTTGTGTTAAAGGGCTATTTCTGAAGTTAGCATTGGAAAATTTCAAATGATGAAAAAAAGTGGTAATATACGATTTTGGAAATTCAAATCGTTTTGTAGACTCGCAGGATCTCAGATTTTGAATACTTTTCGTTAGAAAAACAACTGTAACTGATAATCTTTGCACTGAAAGAATTAAATCAATTACAGTCAAAAGTCTTTAATCCGGACCCGTCGGGACTTCGGCGGTTCCGGATTATCATTATCGGTTTTTCCGGATTATAGATCATCAGTTTAAATCTGGTAAGATGGCATGCAGAAATTATAAAATTAAAAATATGAAACCGTAATTTATGAAATAAAGAGCAATTATGATCTAAAAGGTATTAAAATTTACAAAAAAAAAAGCTTTATATTTGTTTACTTTATTAAACATTTCTTTCAACGCGCGCATGCGTAAAGCACACATAACGCATAGTCGAAATTAGAAAATTGCATTCAGAAAACTATTTGATGTGTATTCGTGATATTTATAACGACGAGGAATTTGATTTAAATCATATCAAAGAGATATCATCGAGATGAAATACTACATTTAGTTAGGAATTATAAGCCGAATAAAATAAAAACATCTGCCCTGAAGATAAGGATAGTGCCGATAGATGAACTTCCATTTAATTGAGCGCCGCGACGTCCCCCCCCCTCGCAGAGCAGCGTGAAATTGATAAACATATTTCGGAATGACTAGAGAATCAAAGGATATGCTTTTATCCATTTTTTGCAGCAATTCCACTTTTTGTTTGATGGACATCGAAACATGCTTTCGCTTTGTAGATCCTTTGGTAGCTCCAGAATCGGAAATTCTTTTCGACTTAATCGAAAGTTCAAGCTTACTTTTATAAAATTGCTCTAACAGTCTGCAAAAAATAATAAGCCAGATCCAATTAGAAGATTAAAGAACAATGCAATCTGCAACATTAACTGAAATAGATAATTTTAGCTTAGCTTATACCGTCCGTTACACAATAAACGCGCATGCATAAAGGTATTATGCGCATGCGTCAATGCAAGGTCCGGATTAAAGCCTTTTGACTGTGTTTGTTTTGATCTCTCTCATTATGTCAGTTGTATAGGAAAAACTAAATATTAGGTGTGCTTTTCCAAGCAATTTTCATTTCTCGAATTGCATATATAGAACAAAAATTCTCCACGAAGGCATCCTTTTCCTTAGGCAAAGAACTTGTGTCCCCCTCCAAAAAAAAAAAAAAAAAAAAAAAAAAAAACTTTAGGCTTGTTTTTAAACTACACTCATGTTCATAAATTAAGGATAATGCAAAATCAGGCAAAGGAAGAGTTAGAAGCAAAGCAAATTTAACTTATTTGTAAAGCTTATTTATTAAACAAAAGGTAAAGAGCATAAAAAGATGCTTTATGTTTGATACTATTAAAAAAATTAGCGATTTTTTCTCCCTGGAGCAAATTAAAAAAAAAAAAAAAAAAAAAACCTATTTACAAAAAACCAATATTACATGGTTGGTATGATTGTTAATACATTGTATGTCTCCCAGACGATACAATACAGTCCGTACAATGCCTAGGCATGCTGAGTATCAAATTATCGATCTGATCTTGGGGGATATTACACCACTCAAAAAGCAATGCTCTCCGAAGTTCCGGTAGACATGTAGGAGGAGGTTGACGGGCTGAAACTCGTCATCCAAGCATGTTCCACGTGCTCTACTGGATTCAAGTCCAGTGAGAATGCTGGCCAGACCACACAGGTGATATCCTCCGATTGAAGGCATTTACTTACGATGTTTGCACGGTGAGGACGAGCGTTGTCATCCATAAACACAAATTGTGCGCCCATGGCGCCCCGATAGATTTGGCTTGTCATGGTTCCAATTTGAACATGCAAGTCAGTTCTGGAACGCAGAATAATTCCACTCCGAACGAGCACTCCGGCACCACCATAACGGTGTCATTCAATGATGTTTTCTTGGTGATAATGGGTACCTGGAGCTCTCCATACGAAAGTCCGGCGAGAATCAGACTGCAAGCTAAACCTGGACTCGACAGAAAACATCACACAAGCCCACTGTTGTGATGTCCACAATGCATGCTCTCTACTCCAGGCTAACCGCAGGCGACAGTGAGTTGCAGTAAGTTAAACGCATCTGACAGGTCTATGAGCATATAGACCAATCTGCCCTAAGCGTCTGTACACGGTCTGCCTTGAAATTGTCGTACCAGTGGCTGAAGAGACAAGTCTGAGGCTGTGCTCCGCCTGTTCCTTTTGGCAGTAACTGCCAAATATCGGTCCTCATTCGGCGTTGTAACTCTGGGGCGACCTGTGCTGTAACGTCTACTCACATTACCATCATCTTGGAATCGTTGCCAAAGCCTGGAGATGACACTCTGGGCAATTCCAAGTTCGTCTGATACTTCCAGTTGGGTATGCCCACATTCCAGACGGCCGATAATTCTACCACGTAAAAAATCATCCAAATGTGTCCTTTGTGTTGTAACTATTCAGTTATTGCACTGAAATGCTTATAAAGCGCCTGCAAACAATTTTACTTCTTCGCCTGTATTCCTTTTATATCTCTCTCGTCATTGTGACGTACCATCGGTGTCATCTGGTTACTTCCTGAAATTTGCATATGATTCTTGAAGATCTGTGTAGTGATTTTACAGGTGATATATTTATTTTAGAGTTCGATTTCCGCGTGACTCCGAATTATCCTTAATTTATGGACATGAGTGTATTTTCACTCAAAGTTTTTTACCTTATTGCACTTGCAAAGACCATTACAATTTCTTCCTTCGACCAGTTGCTTCTGCTAAAACCAATTTTAATGAGGGAAGGGGGAAGCAATCAAAAGGAAATGCTTGGCCCTAACTTTTCTTTACATGAAAATCTGCCTATTACATTTGAAACGATATAAATACGGAATTATGGCTCTCGAAATTCCCAAAATTCTTACATGTGCCTCCTTTTGTGAGGAGTTTTGGCCACTCCTGCTATATATTGAAGAGTTGAAATATTTCAATAAAGATATTAAAATATTTGCATTTTCTCCAGGGCCATATTTTATTAATTCCTTTCCTTTTCATATCTTCGATTTTTTAGTGTAAAATTTACGTAAAAAATATTTTAATTAGATATTATTTAGCATTGTTCCATTTTCCGAGTTCTTCTTTTATGGGTGCATTTTATTAGATTTTTCCCAAGTTTTATTTCAGAAATTTTAAAATAGTTCCGATTGAAAAAACAAATTTTATTGTATTACTTGCATCATTTCTTCACGACTGGTATTTTTTCTTATATTCTCATATATAAAGTCAATGGCATATTGTGTTTCTTGACTACTTTTTACAACATTTGTAATGAAACTCTGCAAAACAAAATTTTGTCACTTGTATTCCGAGTTCAATATATGTCACATACTTTGAATATCATGTTCAATAAAATGTCATTACTTATTTAATAATTAAAAGTATAATGTAGTGCATTTTGTAGATAGAAGGTTGGAAACACATATGCCTGTTGTTTTAAATAATTATTTATGGATTTATTATGTTTTTGTAAATTAAGTGATTATTCTAGCTGTTAAATAATTTATAGATAAATTAAAAAAAAAGTACAAATTCTATAAGGGAAAATATGGTTTATTTCTTTCAAATCACCAATTATAAATTTATGGAAATTTAGAACAACTAACTAAATATAAAAATGATTAAATTGGAGAGACCTATTTTTCCCCTCTCAAAAATAGTTTCAGCTTTGCTTCATTTTCTGAGTTACTTCTTCCTTTATATCATTAAAAGTGATGAAATAAAAACTGAATATTTCACTCAAGTGACATAAAATGGGATAATTTAATAATAATATTTATATTAGGCCTCCAGTATTTAGATCAAGTATTCGGCGAGTCCATGCGAATGTATCCTCCAGTCACAGGATTTGTGGCCAGAAAGTGTGCAGAAGACCATCAGATTGGATCTTACACCATACCAAAAGGAGCAATTGTCCAAGCACCAGTATGGGACATCCACCATAATCCTGATTTTTGGCCCGATCCATGGAAATTTGATCCTGAACGCTTTTCCACGGAAAACAAAATTTCAATTAAAAATATGTCATACATACCTTTTGGAGTGGGCCCCAGAAACTGCATAGGGGCTCGTTTTGCACAACTGGAAGCTAAACTTACTCTTTTTAAACTTCTAAAGAAATTCCGATTTGAAGCATGTGAAAAAACAGATGACCCTTTACCATTAATATGCCCTACTGTCATAATCAATCCAGCAAATGGAGTTTATGTAAAGGCTGTCTTGAGAAATGCTAAATAAGTTTATTTCCACATTTTTCTTGGTTTTATTATTGAACAATAGAATCTTGTTTTTCCAAATTAATCAAGGCCAAGTCCTTTCGGATAATATATGAGTTTATTTTCAACAATCAGAGAATTAAATATTTATAAAACATTTTACGTGAATTAACCAGTTATTATTATTTAAAACTTTACTATAACTTCTTTTTGCAGCCTTCACCAGCATGCAAATTAGACTAAAATGTGCACTTGTCATCAAAATTAAAGCATAATGTGAGAAATGAAACATAACTGATACTTCCAAGAAAAATTATTAATAGAAATTTGTACAAAATCATTAGGTAACATAAATTACAATGTTCGGCAGTTTATTATTCACAAAATATTGAAATTAAAACCAAATTAATAAATGGAAAAATCAAGTCACCTGTTGTAGGAAATGTTTTTCTTCAATATGGTATATGGTATCCTCGGATAGATATGCATGCCTCACATCTTGATTTCATAGACGTTACCAAACTGTTGATAAAGTCTTGTAGAATTGCATGCCACTCTTCTAAAAGTGCACTTTCAGCTGCTGAAGGGAACGGGATGAATTTGGCGCACTAAAATTCAGTGCCCTAGGGCAACTCTCACATGCTCAGTCGGGTGAGTAAGGTGGCCAATCCAATAGAGTCATATCTTGTGTTTGCAAGTATTCTGACACAACATATGCTCGATGAGGCTGAGCACTGTCGTCCATTAGCAAAACCTCTGGGCCAACAGCACCCCTAAACAGTCTGCCTTGAGGTTCAAGTACCTCGTCCACATATCTCCGAGCAGTTACAGAACCTCCTTGAAAGATATGCAGCTCAGTGCAGCCATTTGTCATGATTCCTCCTGAAAACATTAAGCCACAGTCATGGAAACAGTATATTTCACAACAAGGGATGGCAAGTTGCGTGCTTTTTCCTCTCTCCAGAACAAAACACATCTAGAATCACTGTTCAGATATTTGAACTCATCAGTAAACAATACTCTGGCCCAGTCATCTTGGCTCCAATGAACATGAAGACAGCACCAGTTTAAACAGGCCTTTCTGAAAGCTTGATGAGTGGAACACAAACCAATAGTTTTCTTGCATACATTCCAATCTTGTTAAGTCTTTGTGCAGCAGTAGAATGGCTTATTCGAGTTCCTGTGACAGCCTGAAGGTCTAAAACCAAATCTCTTGTCATTTCGCGGTTTCTTTGAGCCAACAACAGCAGAGAACTGTCTCCTGATGCAGTTGTTTCTCTTGGTCGCACTTGACCAGGCTGTCAATCAACAACTGATCCAGTGCTTAAAAAGTGGCTCCAAACTCTTGATGTGACAGTTTGAGGTATATTCAAATTTTGGTTGATGTCCATTGACTTCCCTGGATTTTACCAATTATTTGGCACTTTTGAGCTTCACTTAAATGATAAAATTAAGCCATAACTACTGAATACTGATTATACTCAGAAACCACATTCACTTTAAACAATACTAAAGACTGGAATTCCAACATGCATTTGTTGTGCACCACATTGTCAGTTACTGAATTGCATATTTTCACCGCTAATGTATGTGCAGAAGTGCAATTTTGTGTTCAATTATATTTGATTAATATAAATAATTACAGCACTGGGCATTGGCTGCAACATTAACTTAGTGAAAATAACATTTCTCATTGTTATACATGATCAATGCAGGACATTTATATATATTAAATATTATTAGTGTTTAGAATGGAAAATGATAGAAAATTTAAGTAACCTGTTGTAGGAAATGTTTTTTTCAATATGTATTCGGTAACCTCGGATATGCATACCTCACATCTTGTTAAAACCTTGATAAACTAATTGTTAAACCTGTAAATTTAACAATTATTTTATCACTGCCAAATAAGTAATACATACAAATAAGTGTGCATTACATTTGTCACAGATAATAAGTAACACTCTAAAAGATATAAGAAAATTTATTCTCAGAATAATTAGCTACTATAAACAAACTACAAATTAAGTCATAATTACAACCAAAATAAAATTTCCTCAATACTGATTTCTTTTCCAACAATAAATTAAAGCAAGCTTTAAAATTCTTTACTCAAGGGGTTCAAGAAATATATAACTGCATTTATAATAACTTACTTTAAAATATTTTCAGTTTCTAATTTAGGATTTTTATTAAAGCATAATAAAACAGGAGTAAAGCATTTAAATTTTAAAAACAATGAATCAAACTTGAACCCTTTATATTATCATGGTATTTACATAAATCTTTGCTCACAATCTACATAGTTTTCTTTAATTTGCTTTCTAGTGTTTTCAATCTCAAGTCAACAGTAGGAGCATAAAAATATATTTTTTCCCAAAGTTTAAATTGCATCCATTTTAAGACTTGATGCAAGAAATTTCATACCATACTAACATTGTGTTAAACCTAACAATTAAATTTTATCTCATGATAGCAAAGTTCTAATTTCTTTGTGAAGATGACATAGAAAGTCTACATAGGAAACACTTCCTTCTGTAGTTCGATCTTCGACAAGTAGTTGTTTAAACATGAGCTCCATCTTGTCACCCTGTCTCACTATACACAACTGAAGGGAAAAAGAAATATTAAGTATATTAAAACATATTAAAAATATTAAGAACTACCATGTGTCATTATTATACATATTAAAATACAACAAATGAAATATACACCAGAATTTCCTTTACTAGCTTATGTTTAGTATGGTTTTTCAGTAATTTATTTTACATATCATTTCTTCAAAAAGTAAAACTACTAAAGAAATTACAATCAAAATAAATAACAGAATTCTTATAATGTTAATCGACGAATAATATAAAACTTAAAACTGGCACTGATTTACAAAAGACGTATTTTGGAAGACCTTACAGCTTTCATGCAATATACTGCTGAATGCCACATCAATAAAATTTTACAGCATTTTAAGCAGCTTAAAATAATTAATGTGCAGACAATTTATATTTTGTAGAAGTACACAAAGTGTCTACAAGGTCAAAAAATTATTTTTTTAACTAATTTCAGCAAACCAGCTAAATGGATATTGACAGTATTTTATTACTAGGACATTTCAACTAGCTTTTCATAACTTTTTTCACTTAAAGGCAGAATTTTCTTTAAATTCAGAGAAGATCTGTCATGAGTTTAAGACTTGAATAAAGAATGGTAATAATGTTTTGCAGTAGAGCAGAAAAAATAGTAGCAGAGACATTTAAAATATTCTGTAAAGCATATGGGATCATGCATCAAACACATCGCAGAGCTTCTTCTTCTTCTTCTTCTTCTTTTTTTTTTTTTTTTTTAATGAACAATTTTTCTAGGGACGAGAAAATGTACAAACTTCACAATCTTGAAGAGGTGAAAACATCAGAAAATTTTGACATCTGTCATAAAAAAGTATCAACTGTCTCCTCCCTGATAATTATGATCGGAAGAGAACTACCGACAATAAAAATACTACCCACAAAGATGCTGCTGAAAACTTCTCGTTCCATACATTATACACTGACTGCAAAAAAGAATACTGTATTATATTTTGTAAGAAAGAATTTCTGTATGTCAAATAAACCCAAATAAAAGACAATCCTATTTTCCTCCCCCTATAAACTGCAAATGAAACTAACATTTTGCATAGGATCCTGTGACAAAATGGCACTCATCTGCTTGATCTGGAGAAGGTTCACCACAGAAACAGAAACTCTGATTTCAGGAATCTCAAACAAAGACCATGTTGGTGAACCCTCCATTTTTTTTTTATTAGTAATGGATAATTTACAAGGAATTTGTTCCTGAGGGGCAGATGATGAGCTCCACAATGATATAACGGATAAACTTAATAGAATTTAATACATTAGGGCTGAAATAGCTCAATTACATAATTAAAAAAAATAACTGTTTTGTGATGTACAACTGTGTACAGTTGATTTTTATGTACATTGATTTAACAATGTACAATTTTGTGATGTACAACATCAAACAGTTTCTAGAAAAGGCATTCTCAACCACCCACTTTTATTCATCACATTTGGCACCCAAGACTACTTTTCCTTTTCCAAAGTGAAGTCTTATCTTGAAAGTGAAGTCTTATCTTGAAGGCCATTATTTTAATAGCATTGATGAAATTCAGAAAACCATAACCTGAGATTTGAACAGTATTCCAAAAGATAAGTTTTACCAAAGAATCAACCGGACTGTACATATATATAAGGATTGTATCTTGAAGGAATATGTAATATCATATAAGAATATGAGGAGAGGTAATAAGATAATATAAGAATGCCATTTTCTTCAGCTTTTGACTAGTTAAATTTTATAAATACACTCTGTTATTGATATGTAAAGTTTATATTTGCACCAGAAAGAGAAATCATTTATTTAAAACACAGTCCATGATCCACCAAAGAAATAAGCTACTCTAAGAAATTTCCATAGAAAACATTTTCACACACATATATTTAATATCTTTCAAGATATTTATTCAAATGCTTTGCAATGAAAAAATATGTTAGACAGCATTCATCATCAGACACAGTTTCCAGTCCTTTTCATAAATGCAGAAGTATTCTTAAAGTAATTCATTCTTTATTAGCTCACAGTATATAAATAAATTATAAAATAAATTTTGGAATTTTTGGCAGAAATGTAAAAAGTAACTTACTTTCATATATCTTTGTCTCTCATTTCGTATGAGATTTATAATGGCCCTTACACATTCTGACACTGGGTTATTGAGCTGTAATAACTGGTTCTGTAAATATAATTATAATTTTTACATACATAAAATTCATATTTAAAGTTCTTTTTACATACAAATATTCAGCTTCTTTTTTCTGTATCTTAAATGAATATATGAGGGTTGGAACTTTAATAGCGGCAACACAGCTGAAAAAAGCTACGTAACAAAACCAAAGAATATCGCGTATATCACACGTAAACTACATACCTACCTTACCTCTCAGCAAAAAGACTCGTCCTGCCTATGTCACGAGCATGCGGAGTGATGCGAAGAACGGATCCTTGTATTAGCTTGCGGTCTAAAGTAAGTGTTGTCAGGATGTTTTCAAAACAAGAACAATGATGTTGGATAAAAATTGAATGTGCCAGATGTCGTACAGCACGACAGTGTCAATAAGCGCTTCAAGAGGCTTGCGGGGAATCTGCATTGCCTTACAGAACCGTAGCAAGATGGGTGAAAGCATTCAATGAAGGATGCCAAAACGTAGCAGACATGCTGCGGCCAGGTCGTCCGAGTGTCAGCGATGCAGACGTGCAAGCTGTTGCCGCACTAATGGAGAGTGATCGCTGCCAAATGATTCGTCAGCTGGCTGGACAAACAGGATTAGCGCATACGACTGTGCTGCACATTCTGAAGGAACGCCTGTCCATGAGAAAATTTGCTTCACGATGGGTTCCACATCAACTGATGGAAATGCAGAAATGGCTACGATACGATGCTGCCCGAACCCACCTGGAGCACTATGAGCGCGAAGGAGATGCTTTTTTATGCCGTATCATTACACTGGATGAGACTTGGGCCCGATCCTACCAGCCAGAACTGAAACGCCAATCAAACGAATGGCGTCATCACGGGTCACCACGACGTTTGAAATTTCGTCAGAACCCCAGCAATGTGAAAGTTATGGTGATTCTCGTGTACGACTGTGATGACACTGGATGAGACTTGGGCCTGATCCTACCAGCCAGAACTGAAACGCCAATCAAACGAATGGCGTCATCACGGGTCACCACGACGTTCGAAATTTCGTCAGAACCCCAGCAATGTGAAAGTTATGGTGATTCTCGTGTACGACTGTGATGGTGTCATCTTAACGCATACCGTTCCCCACAGCAGACCGTCATTGCGCAGTATTACTGTTCATTTTTGGAGCACAATCTCCGACCAACTTTGAGAAAAAAACGGCGACACTTTCTGCAGAACGCTCCTCTCATTTTGCATGACAATGCTCGGCTGCATGCAGTGCAAGCTGTGACTGATTTGTTCAAGCGATGGGGCTGGGAAGTGCTTTACCATCCACCATACTCCCCAGATCTAAGCCCTTGTGACCATGACTTAATTCCTTAGATGAAGGAACCACTTCGTAGCACTCACTTCCAAACTGTTCCTGAGATTCTTGCAGTAGTAGACCAGTCCATTCAAACTATCAACAACAAAAACAAGCGCTGCTACAGGTATTCTACGACTTCCACATCGTTGGAAACGGGTTGTACACAATGCTGACGACTATATTGAAGGACTGTAAAACATGGTGACATGAATCACTTTTGTATTCCTTGTAAATAAATAGTTGCCACTATTAAAGTTCCAACCCTCGTACATTCAGTTTGTTTTACAAAGTTGCAGAAAAATTATAACTATGGAAAATTTTATTCAGTAGCTTTATCAGAATTTTTTATATTTTTTAAAAATAATTCATAAAATAAATGAATATATAAGTCAGTATGAAAATATAATTTGAGAGGGGTGAAGTATATTGGAAATTTGATCGTTTCCAAAAAGAAATCAGGAGATATGTTATCATGTGGGAGTGGAATTTTGCATTTACATGAAACAATAAGCCTAATTCTAAGTGAAATACGAATCCATACCTTATCAATATCTATCCGTGCAACAGTAGGAACAGAAAAAACATCCTGAATCCATTCTGGATCAGTATTCATTCCAACCCACAAGAACATATTTAGTCCATTTTCTAAAACATAAACAAAAATATACTTAAATTTTAGCATGCTAGATTATGTTTTCATTCAATCTTAAAAGACTCCATACTTATATGGAATTTTTGTGATGTGATAATTTAGATGGGGGATGTTAAGCATCAAATTTAACAATCAGTATAAACTTCAAAGATTAATTTCAATTAACAAGCGAATGCATTAAAAAAAATACCAACACAGTTTTCTTTCTGCAGGGAAAAAACCATGCATCAGTACAAGTTCCTAAAGATAGCAAAGTCTCATCACCCCCCAAATTAATGCCAGAGGTTAAAATTTTAATTACAAAAGCATAATTAAAAATTTCATTATAGTCACTTATTTCATTTGAATTACAGCTTTAAAAGTTAAATATTAAGCTGCTGTAAAAATTTTGTGTTACGAATAAATCCAAATACTAATGAATACAGCTTATTTAAGAGATTTATGCAAATTATGCATCATTAATAGAAAAAGACATTAATGTGCTCTGTTTGGAATAAAGTGGGATCTGGACCAATTTATAATCTGCAGCCAGACTGTTTAAGAAGGTATATTTTGAATCTTCATAAATTTGATTTGATTTAACTAATTTGATGGTTTCATATACCTGACAATATTTACATATGTTCATAAATGATGAAACCGGACTGAAGTCTTAAAATTCGTTTCTGAATGTATGCACCTTTTAGTTCTCTCTTTGATAATGCCAATAAAGTTCTTTACTAGTTTTTTACAAAAAGTTATTTTTATTCTCCCTTTGTTCTTGTAAAACTTAAAAGAACCCTTGATTAACATGATACCCCATGTTGAACAATGATTGCTGAAATTCTCAAACAGGATTATAAAGAAGTCATGTTGTAGAATTTCCATTTATACAGAAGTTATATGTATTTATCTCTTTCATTCCATTTAAATATTGTAGATTTCATTTGAAATTTTGTCAGCTAGAAGATGAAAGGCACATGTAAAAATATTAACTCACTTAGCATTATGTCCTCCCCACCTTTTTTTTAAAAAAAAACAGCTTAGAAAAATTACTTTTATAATTAAAAATAATTAAACTTTGGACATTTTTACTTCCTTGTACTAAGTAAAAAAGGAAATATTGTAATCGCGAAAAGCTTCAGGCAGCATATTTCAACGAAAATATCCACTTTGACCGCTTTTGAATGCAATTTAGTGATGTTTTTGCGCGATATATGTACGTAAGGACAGAATAAAAGACTCTTTCCCTCCAAAAAAACTGCTTTAAAATGAATTCTGAAGAGAATTTTTCATGGCGTCTGTACGAACATACGTATGTATCTCGCATAACTTAAAAATGAGTAGCCTCAGAAGGTTGAAATTTTGTATATAGCATTACTATAACATGTAGATGTACACCTTGTATTTTGGTTTCAATCGGCCGCGCCAAACGTATATAAATATATCCACTCTGTTACCTGGCTCAGTGATCTCAGTTTCTTTACTCTTATATGTTTGTAAATTGTACATTTTTTTCTTTAAAAATTATTGAATTATGTTGTTTTTATCTTCCGGTTAAGGGTTTTATGCCTTTAGTAAATCTGCATGCAATATTTTTAGAATTATCAACAATTAAAAAGTTGTTTAAGTGCCGCTAAGCCTATTTTGATGGCGGCCATTGCTTGTTTCAAGGAGTTCTAACCTCCTTGGCTTGTTTACATTTGAAACAGCTGAGTAGTGAATTTGTTGCCAATCTAGAGAAACATAGCTTCGCAACAACAAAGATAAATGCCTTCATTTATTATTGCGATTTAAAACATGCTTAATCCTTTCTGGAATTTTTTCAAGGAAATAAATGTTTAAGAGTTACTTAATTTTTAATAATTAGTAATTTTTAGTAGAGATATTTTGAGTTTTTATGTATTTTTGCCTTGTCACGAAGTGAGAACTGAATTAATTGAATGAGAAATACTCAATCGTCTGTGAAAAACTGTTCCTTTTCTGTTTTTTTTTTTTTTTTTTTTGGCTTAATTTCTTTCATACATCATTCTAGCTTTATTATAGTACTTGAATAGAACATGTGGCAACGATTAGATAATTCTTTAAATGTTACAAATTTTGTGCATTCTGAGTTATAATATGAACAAAATATATAGTGTTAAGTGAACCTAGGGCCAGAGTGTCGCTATGATAAACAAATAGAGTGAATTTTAAAGAATGCACTTATTCTATTGAGGTTTATGCGCTGTCAGCGAAGTAGATATAATTAAATCCAATAAGTTCAAACAAAATGCAAGAAAAAATGCGTATAATTTAATATTCCGTACAAGGAAGTCATGAGGTGTACACATCAGATTTTTTACTTTAGTAGGTCTGACAAATTTATAAAAATATCTAGAGTGACTGAGCAGTATATGTTAAGATATATTGGTATATTTTATTAGGACAGATTTTAAAGTAACAGATAAAAGCTTTACGCAAATCGCTCATATCATTTAAAAATTGGCATATTTCTGCCAATTGAAACCAGCCTGTCAGAAACTAGTTTCTGGCATAAGAATGGCAATAACTGGCAGAAACTCATGGAAATAACTGGAAATTGGTTTAAGTAATGTAAACAGCAAAGAAAAATTTATTAAATAAACTTGACTACAAAGTTCATGATATTTTACTCAAGTTCACCCTAGCCTTTTACATGAAGTAGTTGACAGCAGAAGATAATTTAGCTCATTTCAGAATCCAAAGAAATTCTCAATCCCTTGCAAATAAATGATAAGTTTGATAATATTCTTCCAATAAATCATAAATCGTGTTTGTATAGTGATGATAATGCACAGCAATCACTATGCAAACAATTTTCTAAGTTGACACATTATACTTTAATCTTTCAATTAATTTCTTTCTGCACATAAAAATACCCATTTAGATCTACTGGCTTACAATCTCTAGAATAAGTTAAAACAGCATTAACAGATATCAACAAATTATATTCAAACATCCTTTTTGACAAAATGATTCCTTAAACATAAACTATCTTTGAATTAAGAGATGTAAGTTGTGATTATGGTCAGCTGTAATTCACTGGCTTCAATAATGCACCTTATCTGATGAGCACACTTAAAAGAACATTGCAATGAAGATTAATTTTATTTAATTTCATTTTTAATACTGGAGTTTAAACACATTTTGTAGAAATATAATGTATTAGACTAACAGGAACTGAATTTACTCCTTATCCACTATAAGAATCGCAAGCTGATTAAAATATTTATTATTTTTTTTCAGTATACATACATTGGGTCCCAAAAGCGTTCGTACACTTATGATTTTCATTGAAATAGGGCTCTATCCATTAATTAAAAGTAAACTTTCTGAATGAGATTTTAATAATACGATCTATAATCTATCCGTAACAAAATTACATGAAATATTTTTTAAATATAGTGAAACTTTATTTAAAAAAAATTAATAATAAAAAAATGATAAACATTTGATCTCACAAAAGTCTTCGTACACTGAAATATTTTTGGATAAAATCAAAATTAGAATTATCGTTTGCCACTTTTTTTTTTAAATTTTTGCATTGTGGTGGCATTTAAAAAATTGTTTGCTTTAATTTTTTATTGTTTGCTTCATAGTATTCTATTTATTATTGAAAAATGGGTCGCAGTCATAAAGAAATTACAAACAGCATTCAAAAATTGATAATTTTTCACCATAGTTGTAGTAAATCAATTCGAAACATCACTAAATTAGTTAATTTATCCCATTCTACAGTGCAGTATGTGATAAAACGCTTTAAAGAAGAAAATCGGATTGAAAACAAGGTAAGAGAAGGTCGACCGAGAAAGTTAACTAAACGTGATGAGAGATTTATTATTAGAAAATTTGTGAAAAAAACCACATTTGAGTGCTGTAAAAGTTTTTGCAGAATTTAATGCAATGTTTTCTACTTCAATTTCACCTTAAACTGTTCGACGAGTTCTCAGAGAAGCTGGATTACATGGGCGATCTGCCCACAAAAAAATTTTTTTAGTGAGAAAAACAGAAAGCTTAGCCTTTCATTCGCAAAATCAATAATAAATACACCCAAAACGTACTGGAATAATGTCCTATTTACTGACAAAAGCAAATTTAACATTTTTGATTCCGATGATCGAATAACTGTATGGAGAAGAAAAATGAGGAACTTCATTCTAAGAACTTAGTTGGAACAGTTAAGCATGGCGGTGGAGGTGTTCTTGTGTATGTGTGGGAGGGGGGGCATGACAGCATCAGGACTAGGTAATTTGGTATTTATGACTGGCATAATGAATAATTCTCTTTATTTAAATACTTTAAGAGACAATTTAAAATTATCAAAATTTGGGTATTGGAAATAATATTTTTAATCATGTTAATAATCCTAAGTATACGGCTCTCAACGTTTGCCTGTAGTGTCTCTGTAATTGTCCACAGATTTTGAAAACACCACCTTAGTCGCCAGATTTAAACCCCATAGAACACATTTGGAAAGAGCTGGAGGTTAGAGTACGAAAACACAACATTAAAATGAAAAGCAATCTCAAAACAGCCATGATGGAAGAATGGATGAACACTGATACAGAAATTACAAAAAAAAAAAAAAAAAAAAAAAAAAAAAAAAAAAAAAAAAAAAATTAGTAAAATCTATTGCCAGATGTTTAAAAGCTGTTGTGGATGCTAAAGGATATCCTACTAATGTTAATTTAACGAAATATGAAAATATTTATTAATATGTCAAGATATTTTTGAACTGTACGAAGACTTGCGAGATAAAATGTTTGTCATTTTTTAATTATCAATTTTTTTAAAATAAAGTTTCACTATATTTTAAAAATATTTCATGTAATTTTGTTACGAATAGATTATAGATCTTATTATTAAAATCTCATTCAGAAAGTTTACTTTTAATTAATGGATAGAGCCCTATTTCAATGAAAATCATAAGTGTACGAACACTTTTGGGAGCCACTGTATATATATAATAAAATTAATAAAAAGAAAATGAAAAGTAAGAACTTAAATTATAGATTGTAATTTCTTTCCTACGAAGGCCTTAACAAATTCTTTCTTGCTGAAAGTCGCAACCGAAAAGGAGCATGAGTAAAATTAAACTTCAAATACATATACAAAAGTGAAAATAATACAAAATAGAACAATAAACAAAATTAATGCATTAATCTCCTCTGTTTAAAACTTCAAACAGAACTTATCAAGAGAAAAGTGCTTTGAAGACTTAAACTAAGTTAATTAATGAGTTTTGAATACGTTTCATTCCTCTGAATCATTTGAGACTCGAAACTGCTATTACTCTAATCAAATTTTCACTTTAAAACAACATTTTAGTGGCTCTCAAATGTTTAGACCTTTTCCCTACATGTATTCACAAATCCAACACTACAAAAATAAAATACAAAAGTAGAAACACAAAATAAGAAATGCAAAAGTTTTTTTAAGTGAAAAACAAAAGCTTAAAAAACTTAAAAAGGCCAAACGAACTAATTACAATAATCTACATCAAGGGGAAACCTTAAGCAATACAAGAAACATTTTTCAAAATGGGGGGAAAAAAAAAAAAAAAAAAAAAAAAAAAATATTTGGTCAGTATTTAAAACCTAATATATAATTTTTATATTATTAAAATAACTTAATAAAACAGTATTAATTTAAAACATTGTATTAATCCTATAATTTTTTACCTGCTTTTATTAATTTCAGCCAATTGTTGTCATCTTCTGCTGGTTTTAACTGTTGACAGCCAGCTTCTGCCATTGGCAGAAAAAACGTATTTTCTGCTGGCAGAAAGTCAGCTCTTGTTCAACTAGACCAGTGTTTCCCAAAGTGTGGCATGGGTAAGAAGAGTTTGGTAGGGGTACGCATTGCACTGGAGTTTGGTGGGGATATGCACTACATCGTGCTTAACTGTGCCTTATTCTACATTCTAATGAGTCAAGACAGTCTTGTGAAGAGTGAGATAATGGTCCAGCGTGAATATACCACTCTTCATTACAGAGACAATTTACTTCGTTAATAGTTAGTAGCTTCTCCATGCAGCTTTGTATTTTTAGCTTTTGTGCGATTTTTCTTATAGAAAATGTTATGTGCTTTAGTAAGACCCACTGATTTTGACTATTTTTATAAATGTTTACCCCTAAAATAGGTTATTGATCGTTGGTTGAAATCTAGAATTACTACATCGAAAGAAAGTAATGATTATAGTAGCAATGAACTAAGAAATTAACTTCAATTCTGAAAGAACCTGCTAAAAAAAAAGCAAGAAAAACTCATGAGTATGACAAAGAATATATTAAATTTGGATTCTCATGGACTGGATATGAAAATGAGCCTATTCCACTTGGCATCATTTGTTTTTAAAATATAACAAACGAAAGCATGAAACCATCCACCTTAAAGTGCCATTTTGAAACAAAGCATAATCAATACAAAGTAAACCCACAGATTTTAAAAAAATAAACTTAAGGATTTAAATCAGTCTCGAAAAGTAATGAGTGGTTTGACAAGATAGGGCAATAAAAAAATACAAGAAACTTTACACCGCGTGCCGCTTTTAATTGTGAAATGTAGTGCAGCAGAACCATTGGCGAAATTTTAATCAAGCCTGCAGCCAAGATAATGGCAGAAGTACTGATAGGAGATGGAACGAAACAAACTTTTGACCACGCTTCTCTCTCAAATAATACAGTTCATTGACGAATCATAGATATGTCTAATAATGTAAAACAGATGTTATTATCTGATATTTCTCAAAGTCATTTTTATGTATTGCAAGTTGATAAGTCCACTGATTTTGAAATCTTATGGCGTTTGTTAGATATGAAAAAAATCAAGAAATTCATGATGATTTTTTACTTTGCCAGCCTTCATTAGATCACACAACAGGAGAAGATACCTTTAATGTTATGAATAAATTCATGCAAGAGAACAAAATTGATTGGAATAAGCACAGGTGAGGCAAAAAGTACGGTCAGAATTAATAAAAGACTCATTGCAAGACTTCAAAATTTTACCCTAAATGTCATATCCACACATTTTTGCATACACAAAGAGGCTTTGGGAGCACATAAGAGGCTCGCTGATCTACAGAAAGTTCTGGATGAAAGCATGAAATCGTTAACTACATTAAAAATCGTCTTTTGAATGCACGACGTATTTGCAAATATGTGAAGAAATGGGTTGTAGTCATCCCCAGCTTTTTTTTTTTTTTTTATACCGATGTTTGTTGTCTATCTCTCGGAAAAATTCCAAATCAATTGTTTCACCTTAGACATGAACTTCAATGTTTTCTTAATGATAGATTTGAGTTGACAAACTGTTTACATGACTGGAAATGGTTTTGTAAACTTATAAGGTATTTCTCCCACTTTCTTGGCATGCCTTCATGGTGTAGTGGTCGGGCCGGTATTCCAGAGGTCTGTGGTTCGATTCCCGGGAAAAACGATTGTTCATTTTTCATCTTGCCTGCTTCCAAAAAATACCTAATGCCTCTACAGTGGCACCCGAACTAAAACGGTGATGGATGATGACTCTCCACACTCAGGATTTGGTGCCCTAAAAACCCCAGTCGCCCTTTAAAAGGGGGAGTATATAAGGTATTTCTCCCACCTTCTTGGCATGTCTTCATGGTGTAGTGGTTCAGCACGCTGGGCCGGTATTCCAGGGGTCCGCGATTCAATTCCCGGCAAAGGCAATTGCTAATTTTTTATCTCGTCTGCTTCCAAAAAAAAACCTAATGTCTTTACAAACTAGCATACTCTGCAGATATATTCTCTGTTTTAAACTGCCTCAACTTATTGTTACAAGGCAAATAAATTTCAATAACAAAATTAATTTGTTTCATGCTCAAGATAAAGTGAATGCTGTCATTGCAAAACTGAATTTATGGCAAAAGAGAATTAGTAATAGAGAAGCAGACTCATTTCTTTCTCTTGAGTTTATAACAAGTTTGACAACTAAAATTGGTGCCGATATTTTGAAATGCATAATACAGCATTTTGAGAGTTTGCAAGTGGGCTTGGAAAACTATTTCCCTGATTTAAACAAAAATACTGAATGGATAAGATATCCATTTAACATTAACACAACATTCATGCCAGAAGATTTGTCGCATGCGGAAGAAGAGCAATTGTTGGAATTGCCTTCAGATGGACTCTTGAAAAATAAACATAAGGAGTGAGTGTATTTTAACATTATTCTGATTACAAACGCAGTATGTGTATCCGGTTTTAACAGAAAAAGTTCTGAAATACATCTTGCCTTTTCCAACTTATTTATACGAAGTTGCTTTTTCAGCATTTGTAGACATTAAGTTGAAAAAATGAACATACTATTGGATGTGGAACCACATTTCAGATTAAAATTAACAACCAGGGAACCAATTTATGATGATCTGTCATCTCAGCACAAACAATTTCATCCTTCTCATTAATCCAAATAAATGTTATAATATAACTTACATTTTATTATGCTTTTCTTTTAATTTTGTGCATGTCACAAAAAAAGAAAAAATAAATAAATTTTGACTGTTCTTAAAGTACATCCTCTTTTTTTTTATATATTTATTTATTTATTTATTTTTTTATGAGGGGTATTCAGCGTTACGAAAATTATGGAAGGGGTATGAATATGTTAAAAGTTTGGGAAACACTAAACTAGACTAAGTCACTTACTTTGTAACATACAAGAATCTCATTAACATTTCACTAACATTAAAAAAAAAAAAAAAAAAAAATTATTATGATTTCTTAAGAAAGAACTACCATTTAAAAATTACAATAGTTTCAACCAGTATGCTTAAATGCAAACTGTAATGACCATTCCTTAAAGATCAAAACAATTAGGAAAAGATTGTTTTCATTTTGCAAAGGAAAAATTATGCACACCAAAAATAAGAAATTTCTGAAACAGTCACAGCTTACAATTTGTAACAGACATTAATTCAATGCAAATGTTCAGGATATTAAGATAATAAATTTCAATTTAACTTAAATGTTAACACAATAAAGGCATAAAAATATGAGTAATAAATTTTTACTTCAATAACAAATTTTCTTACCTAAAAGATAAACTCCATGTTCTTTTATCCTTTCTATAGAGCATCGGATAGCAGTAGGTATTTGAACATATTCAGGATTAGGCTTAATATCATGCTTTAAGAGGGGGAAAAAAAGAGAAGAAAAGGCTTTAAAGCTAAAAAGAATGCCATTAAATACATAGAAAAGTGAAAACTCCAAACAAATATGTATCAGGCATACCACATTAGAGGACATACACCTTTTTTTAATTGCATACAAAGAATAAAGGCAACAGGGTACTTTTCCGTTTTGCTGGCACAGGCGATAAAGTTGCCAATAATGGTACAACTGATGCTAAACGGAATATCCTCGCTAGTACCCTTTTACGCCTCATTTTCAAAACAAGTCACAGCCATTTCTTATCAGATTGATTGTTTCTTTTAATACTGGAATACAATTACGTAGAAGTTTTACCAGATAGTTCAATTTTATGCCCTAAGGCCATTCGCGATAACTAAGTCAATTAGGATGCAATCACACCGCTCAATCGAAGGCAAAAAGGTAGAAAAGGCAAAGTTAAGGGTTAAATTCATCAATTCTAATGAGAATGTACTAGCGAAGTAAAGCACTGAGGTTTTACATAATTTCCGAGTAAGCTATTCGTGCGAATTGAAATATTTCTTGCATTTAAACTTTTATTCCAAACTAAGATTTAACTTGACATTAATGTAAATAACTACTGAGAGAATTAGATTTTTGTAACGTAGTGTACGTGAGACTTGGGGTCACGTGATATGAAGCGCCGAATCAGGATGTTGAAACATGAAAGCATAGTAAATTCTTAATGTCTTTATACAAATTTATTCTCTTTATTTATTGGATTTTTACAAAATTTTAAACGCTATTAAAATGTTTATGCCTTCCAAATAAAAAATTATTAGAACTAACATTTCTTATGTGTTATATTTTTTATGTGTATACTGTATGTTGTCGCCAATAAAGTTCGCTCGGTGAGATTTGCGCTCGCGAAACGGAAAAGTACCGGCAATAGTTTATGCTTAAATTATAATTTCTCTGCTGTATCATCAAATACTAATAATTGGCAGTGGAATTCATTCATTCATAGTTAAAAAAGGAAAGAAAGAAATAACTAGCTATTAATATTTAATTTGAACTTTTTGCATTTAAAAAGAATGTTTAAAACTTCCTACTACTAACTTGATAATCATAAATATAATTTTTGCAAAAATTTTAGAATCACTTTTCTGCTGATTTTATGAAATTTTACAACGGTTTTAAAATTTGATTCTAAAAAAAAAAAAAAAAAAAAAAGGATCACTCACTGTATGCCATCATTGATACAAAAATGACAGACAGGTGTTCTACTTACAAGGGGAATTAATCTGGGATACAGGTAAGCAGCAGAAGAATCCACATCCATATTTAATGCAGTAAACATTATAAAACTTCGATCATCAGTAGAAATTTCTTGTCCTATGAGAATCAAAATACTTTATTACAGAGAATCTGCATAATAAAATATTATGCATTAAATATTACATCTGTATAATACTTTAAAAGCTGAAACAGATAAAATTTACTTAAGTATTTTTATGACCCTAATATGGAAGAAAATTTATAACGTTCTCAAATTATCTTATAAATATCACATATATATGTAATAAAAACTGCGGTTTGATGACAAGACATTAATGATTTGATTATGAATGATGCACACACTTGCATTAAAATTTTCGGTGAAACAGGACTTTTCCTATGATTCAAACGTGAACATAGAATAACAAACTTGTGTAGATTTCTTCATAATTAGAACTGGTCGAAAAATGTAATGATGTAAGTGATGGTACTGATGTAAGAACAACGAGATGTAGATGCATAGCAATGTTGTTTAGTGCAGATAGTTGATGCTTAGAGCATCCATCCATTTTGAAGAAGAAGTCGAGCCGGATTAAAATCCACATTTATTTAAATTCACATTGGTGGTCATAATTCACTTGGCTCTCCAATCATGCCTATTTCCAGAACAATTTTGATACTATTGCAATAAAAGCGAACATAGTAGATTGGTGCAGTGTCGTAACAGGATGAAAGCATAAGCGAGAAGAGAGAATCACAATAGTAATGCGGAGGAAGTTGAAAATCAGTTTGAGTTACTTTTGGTTTACAATTATTTTGATTGAGCAAGAGGTATCTGCATTAAGCATTATGCAAGATCACATAATTAATTTGAACGAGGCAGTTCAGACTTGTAGCAATGTTTTTAAGATGGAGAGATGAAGTTCCCAAATTAAATAAAACTAAAAGAGATTATAGCCATTAAAATTAGAAGTCTGCTTTCATATTTTTAATCTTACGCATTTCAAAAGAGAAAGGTAATGCGACAGAGAAGCCTTTTTGATATATATGTGTGTGTGTGTGTGTGTGTAAGATAAAAATATGTAAATCAGATTCATAAATTAATTTTGAAATAGCCTCTAATAAAAAAATATGTAAACCAGCTTTATAATTTAGCAATAGTCTCCAGATTCCTCATTTTAAATTTGGTTACTTTTTCGCTGTAAACTAGTGACAGTAATAACTTTTCTGGACTGCGCCATTTATAGACCAATCTATGTCACATGGCTTACATAACGCTGATGATGTAGCTAAATCAGAACTGGAACTCAATATTTTGAGAATTGAAACCTTTCTTACCTAAACCAAAACCTTCTCTCGGTAACCCTCCATAACGCATAACTGCACACTTTTGCTTGTACCACTGTACCGTTTGGACACTATTGCAATCTGCTCTCTTTCTATCCCAACAGCACAAAAAATATAAATATTCTGGAAATACTAACGATTAGAGTGTGAGTGAATTGGGCCACAAATGTCAATGGCAATGAAAATGAATATTTAATCTTACTCGGCTGCTAAGTTTCCTAGTCATAACGGATTCAACATTAGTATTCTATGCAATCAGAATTCTTCCTGTTCAATATGGATCTACATTCTATGCCACCTACATGTTGTGCCATCAGTATTTCTGCAATTCTACGTCTCAGTGTTCCTACATCAGTGTTTCTAAATTTGTTTTTATTACATAATTTTTTAAGTATTTTTTAAGTATTTTTATGACCCCCAATATGGAACAATATTTATAAATTTCTCAAATTATTATACTAGAAAGTGAAATGAAAATACTCAGAAATATCATTTATATGCATATATAAGTAGTATACATGATGAGAACATTATTCTAGTAGCAAATAGTTTATTTTACATTATCAGCATAATCTCAGTCAGTTTTAAGCAGAATTTTTAAAGCTACCATGCATTCTTATATAAGGATATGCAGTCAGAAAGATATTACTTTACAACACTTTAAGAATAAAAACAGTCAAGATATGTCGTCTTTTAAAAACAAACATAATTAAAACATCCCATCATAAAATTCAGAAAAGAAGAAGAGAATCATAGGTATGCATTCTCCAAATTTTAGACAATTTAGAAAACTTTAAATTAATGCACTTGTTGTAAAGCTATTATATATGACGTTATATCAAAATAAAAGGGGATTTAAATATGACCAGAACTGTTGCTATTACAAATCACTAACCAATAAAAAAAGTGCATGTCTCTGGGTGAGTACAGCTACCATTCTTACCTTATCTACTATGGATAATAGAAATTTATGTGAACAGCTGTGTCTTGAAGCCACAAGAGTGATGAGCGAACAACAGCTGCCTCACAGTATAATGATGCACTGTGATCATGTGAATTATTTATTTCTTGTTCAACAAATCCTCCAGTCATCTAAAACTTAACACAGACTCCAAGTATGGGAAAAAGCATCTCTCTAGGATGTATGCATCTGAGTAGTGCAATTGCTTCTATGAAAGGACCCAAGAGCACACAGAGAACATCCATCCCTCCAATAGTTGGTGATCGTGTGAATGTGGTTATTTTTTAGAATAAGCATATAACTATCAAAGAACTCATATTCACTATTTGCAGTATATAAACTATTGTAAAAAAACATTTGCACCATGGCAAAATAATTTTCTAGTAGATTCTATGTACACTGACAGATGAGAACAAAGGGATGATGATGCAAACCATAATTTCTCTCCTACAGTAGTTTGCAGACGGAAAGGGATATATTTTGGAATTATGAATGGAATGTAGGTCCATTACTTCAATCTTAAGACCAAGCTTAAATTGTACTCAGAAGGCATGCAGTTTGTGAAAAACGATGCTATCACCATCAGTGTTTAGGAGTGGATTTGCAGCCAATTGAAAAATGACTATAAAAATGACATGAAAAAAATTAACCAGAATATTAGCCAAAAAAAAAAAAAAATGTATCGAGTCTGCAGGGAAGTATGTTGAAGGGAGAGATGTTCAATCTTTCAATCACAATAAAGGTTTCCGTAAAAAAAAAAAAAAAAAAAAAAAAAAAAAAAAAAAAAAATCAGCCCTGGTCATATCTGAAGCGCTTTGTGAAATAATAAATAATGAAATCTTTTTTCTTTCACAATGTAAGTTAATTATACAAAAAATAAAGAAGAGTACAATATTTACCTCCAGCTAAAGCATCACTTTTGATAAGACAATTTAAATAAAGAGGAAGAAGTTTCATGCACTCTGGCAAAATCAACTGTCCAGCTGAAGAAGCCTGAGCACAATTCTTACGATAGCAGGCTAGTATTTGAGCACTGCATGATATGAAATGTTCTTTCACCTGTTTTGGAGTTTCCTCAGTTATTCTACGAACACCTATTAACAGACAAATAATTTTATTGACTCTGTAAATAAAATTTAGCTCACTAGATTCAGAATTTAATAAAATAAAAAGAGTAAATGTTCACATAATTTGAAAGACTGAAATTTCGTATCTATAGCATGAAAATAACATACCATCTTTAAGGAAATAATTCATTATAGTATCCAGTTCACAGTTACGGAAAAGTTCAGCCATTTGTGTGCAGGTGTTAAGAACAAGATTATGTACACGAAGTCTACGCTGACCTGAACAGCTTGTATAAAGAATGGCACACTGTATACACACTCCTTCATCTTCATTAAGCTTATCATCATATTTTATTTCAATGTTGAGGGATTTGTCACAGTTTATGGAAGCTAACTCTACATCAGTTGTATTTGACATAAAGAAACTACCCACAAAATCAGTCGGTCGTACACCTACAAGCAAGATGTTTAAAAAAGGTTAATCTGTAGAAGTAAAAAGCACATCAAACAAACAGAAAATTAGTTTTGTTTTTCTATAAATGCAAAAATAATTATATATTTCAGCTCTTGAAAAATTAAGTATGTCAAATTAAAAACAGATTAAAAGTTCATATGGTTTTAATATTAAGGAAAAGTCTTAAATAAGTAGTGGATATAATGATGAACATTTTCAATTTTGCGACTAAAAAAAAGGCCTATTATTTTTTAATTACGAATATCTGGAAGATTTACCTGCAAATTTTAATTACAGTTTGCCAACAATTTCTGTATCATTCAATGCATTAAAATAGATCGATGTGACAGTTGAAGGTTTTGTTATGCTAGTCATTACAGACAGTTTATAATGAACTCTCAAAACTGCTAAAATATGATTCATTATATCTTGTAATATAATGAGTAAGAAAATATATCATCTTTAAGGGATTGTTTGCCTAAGGATTACATATACATACATCACATATACATAATTTTTCAAAAGCATTTGTTAACTGCATTTAACAACTACAAAAGAAATAAAAGACAGAATGTAAATTAAAACTTCAGAAAAACTATGAACATATATATCATGATTTAATGACTAATTATCCAATACAATATACTTTCTCTTACCAGTGCTTGTTCGAACTCTTAACACTGCATCAAAAGCAATGGGTTTTTCAACGTCCCGCCGTAAATCTTCTATAAATCTTTCACCATCTAGATCAGCCTAAAACCAACAATTTTATATAATACACTTTAAAAGTAATTACACTTTAATTTGAACTCTCTTTTATTAACATGCAATACTGGATATCAATGTTAAGGAATGTCTACTACTGTTAGCATAAATTTAGGTATTTTGCATAATGAAACTCAAAAGGCATACGAAACGAACGCGCACCAAGATATATATTGGCGAGAGAAAGTAAAGTTCGCGTGCAATGCAGTATATTTTACTTTCACCTTAGCTACATGCAGTGTATTCGTTTTTCATCCTAGCTGCTTATATCACGGCCAAAGGTCTAATTCAGTTAGTACTTTCTTTTTTCAGGTATGGTGTGAATGTATGTTCCTGTTTTTTCTCATTGCCTAAATAGGTATGCTTAAAGATGTATGACTTATATTTGTATGTAAGTTATCTCCTTTTCGATAATTCAGTGTTTTTAATGTCTGTGAAAATTATTACTTTTTGTTATGCTTAAGTTAAGCAAAATTCTCCTATTTTATTAAATAAAGATTTCGCAGTTAATTTTTTTGACTTATGATTCTTTAATGAAAACTGCGCCTGAGGAAAATTATTCATTATGCCTTCAGTGCTAATGCACAAACCAACAAGTATTTAACTGGGTATTGCTTGTTTGAAGAATTTTGGTTTTAACATTTTTTAAATTCTTTATTGCATTTATAGGATTATTTGAAATTTATTACTTTTGAATTTCTAAAGCTAAATATTTCTTAGGCATGGAAATAAATCGCAAGGAAGATGGAAGTTATCTCTTATCACAGAAAAATAAAATAAATCAACTTGTCAAGCAATTTTAACTTGAAGAAGCGAAACCCGCTAGCACACCAATGGAAACAAACTATTATAACCTAAACAAGGAAGAAAATTTCCTAACTTCAGATGATAAATTTCGCCAAACTATTGGAAGTCTTTTGCATATATCATCTATCACAAGATTACAGCTTCAACTCACATACTCAGCAGAAGGTGTAATAATCTACGTCAAAAGGACTGGAATGCTGTTAAAAGAATCATTAGATACTTAAACACGACAAAGAATCTATCCTTACAAACTTCGTCGAGTGAAGAACCTAATATTACAGTTTATTCAGATGCTGATTGGGGACAATTGATCCAAAAGATACAAACATATGTTTAATTTTTGCGTATTATGGTTCATGTGTTTAGACCAGCATTCACTTTTATTTCAATTTCATTCAGTCATATTTAACTGAAATACAGGTTTTCCTTTATTTTATTATTTTTTTTAATATCATATGTTGGGGAATTTCTTTTGCATGTATGAAAATAAGTAATAATTAATTCAATTAAATGAAACATTTTTTAAATTAAACTGGATTTAATTATATCAAACACTTAAAGGGGATGAAACACAATTAGATCTCGTAATTATTGGTGGTTTTATACATAAAGGCTGATTTCCCTTCAAAAGTCAGCCTTTTTACATGAAATCAGCAATAATTACTAATTATTATTTTATTGTGTTTTCTGCAAGATTTATTGATTGCATTTATAAATTATTTTTATTAATTACAAGTTTCATAAATACAACAATTTGAACTCAAAATTTCTCAGTAGGGTTCATAAATACAACATTTATCAGTATACAATTACAATAGTACCTTGTTTCTTCATTTTTCTATGGGAGAATCTCTATTAATAATTAAAATTTTACATTAATAATTTTAGCTGCATAAGTGCTAGAATTGCACTTTAAAACTCCTTTTTTTCCCCTATTTTACTATGCTTATAAGAAATATGTACAATGAAATTAAGCAAATCAAAATTATAACTTAAATTAGCAATAACCCCCTACTTCCTCATTTTAATTTGGGTATTTCGCTTCTCTATTCTATAAATAGAATAATTTTTCCTAGACTGCATCATTTCTAGAAAAATCCACATCATATGACTTTTACATAATGATAATGACATAGATAGCTAATCCAAAACTTAAACCCAAACCCTTCTTTTAACACACCTCCATAAAAGATAATTACAAAATTGCTTTCTGCACCTCAACCTACAGGGACTGCTGCTTCTCTTCTTACTGCAAAAGTTATCAAAAATGTAAATTGTATGAAACAGGCACAATTAAAATGCCTAGTGAATTGCAGCTACAAATGTCACCTGAAACAAAATGAAATATTTAATCTGCCTTGGCTGCCTAATTTGTTCTTCATTATGGATCAGCATCTACACTATCAATATTTTTCACACTATTATATGCAAGTCTACAACTTCACAGATTAAATTTTCAACTATAGTCTGTTCATACTATGTGCTTTACATGTGTGCACACAATAAATTTATTTTCACTTCCACATTCTTAACAGCATAAGTCGTCAAACAAAAACTGAAAATTATTATTTTAGAATCAGTTTCATTGTTCAATGGAATGAAACTCAAACAGTGCCATGGATTTTAAAATTTCATACGATTGCTTTCATAAATAAAGTAAGTTAGTGCAGCTTAAAATATTTTAGCATCATCATACAGAAAGGCTAACAAAGAGTATTAAAAATTTAAGCTGTAATGTAGTTGTACACTTAGATTTAATGATGTAGGAAATATTGATAGCATAGACATTGAGATGTTGATCCATAACGAAGAACAAATTTGGTAGCCGAAGCAGATAAAATACTCTTTTTTATTTCAATTGACATTTCTGGCCACAATTCACTTGGCACTTCAATCAAACCTATTTCAAACATTTTACATTTTTGACAGCTTTTGCAGTAAGAAGAAAAGCAGCAGTCTATCTAGGCTGAAGCCCAGGAAGTAAGTGTGTAGTTATCCAGCATGGGGGATTATTAAGAGAAAGGTTTTGGTTTATACTCTGAATTAGCTATGCCATCATTGTTATATAAAAGTCATATGATGCGGATTATTTTAAAAATGATGCAGTCCAGAAAAAGTTATTACCATTTTTAGAGGAAATATCCAAATTTAAATGAAGAATTAAAGGACTATAACTATTTAAGTTATAATTTTGATTTACATACATATTTATATAAATACAAAGTAAAAAGCAGTTCAAGAATTTTATCCAGTTATGCATTAACAGCTGCAACAATGGTGGTAATACTGTGATTTAAAAATAAAACATTTAAATCCAACTCAGATAAGATTTAGTTGACTTAGAAATCATATAAACATAAACTGTGCATACATAAAAATACAGTTGGGAAATTTAGTAACAGATATAAAATATAAATAACCTTTCATTTTTATTTACACTTTTTATTAACTTTTTATATAATTAGTCACAGTGCTTCTTAATTTTATTTTGAATGGTTTGCTCCAAGTTGATTATGGGATAGATTTAAATGTTTCATTTTTACTTTACTCTCTCTCTCTCTCTATGTATATATATTAATTACAAATATTCTTCATACTTTTAATTACCTGGAAATAGGTGTATTTATATAACTGTCCACCGGTCAGTCGACAAACTTGACCCAAAGTAGCAACATCAATGTACGCATTATTAAACAGAAATAAATCAACAGAGCAACCTGCTTTTACACAGTCTTGGCCAAGGTTATTATAGAAAGTAGTCTGAGGGGTTAAAACTGCCTGAAACAAATAATGTAATATTAAAAAACCATTGTAAATTAATTGTACAGATACAGATTATAATACACATATAAATTAATAAAGCACCACATGGATAATAGAAAGAGGGGGCAAAATTACATTATTATAATTTAAAGGAATTAGATGATGGGAGTAAGTAAATAAGACATAACAGGTGTCCACAAGACTTTATCCTGCTTAAGCAAATCATCACCAAAATTTAGGTGTTCCTTAGATGCAATAATGCAGCTAACACTTGCGCCTATGTACTTACATATATAATATACATTTAGTTAACATTAATTAAGTATATTTCATAAACTTGTGTAAGTAGGTACCTATTTGCTTTGTGGTCACAGTAAACTCATAAAAACTTGCAAATCTGATATCAATAGCAACGCACTGTTTGCATATGCACAGTAGCAAACTTGTCCAGACATATACCAGAGCTTTGCAAGAAAGATGCAGACTTGCCCCGCTTGTGCTTGCACAGTATTTGATTCATCAGTTATATAAATATAAGTGTCAGAGACAAAAACTGTATTTGTTTTCTGAATTTTGAGATAAAAAAAGATAGGCAAGTACTTTAAAAAATATAAATAGGTAGTTAGGTACACACAAGTTACAATGAATCAAAGGCAACTTTTTTTAACTTTGAGAAAAGTAAGTATTTTTTTCCCCCCTGATTGCATGCAGATGCTAATCATGTTAACAATTCCTGTGAAATTTAAAGCAGATGCATTCAAACATATTTCTGTGAATTGTTTATGTTTTGTGGTGAACAAAACATCTCGCTTTTAAAACTAATACAATATTTTGCATTATACTTAGTGTTACTAAATATCGGAATGAGCAAGTAGTTACGTTTTCATTTTGAATGGATTAAGAATGGAATGTTTTATTTGTTTTTTTAATCCTTTTGTATAAGAATAGTTGCAGTCGTTTGCAGAGTAACTTTATTTAGTGAGTACTAGAAGCTAATAAAATACACCCCCCAAAAAAATTTTTATACTTAAGATTAAAATAAGGTTTTAATTTTGGGAATCATCAAAGGAAATTTACATGTATGGGTGAATGAGGTCTGCAAGGATCGATGCATATATGACGCAATCAATAATTCTGTCCACAATAAAGAGTGGATCCAAAGAATACCATCAAAATCTTCCTCAGACTATAACAGTATTCCAGTCAGCTTGTATTTGTACCCAAATGGTTGAGGGATGTACGTTCTCTGATGTTTTTTACTGCATGTACCAATGTCCATTCGTTTGATGAAACTAAAGATGCAATTAATTTAAGAAGGTAAACTTTTGCCTAGCAGTGGAAGTTCACTGTTGGTATTGCCATGGAAAATTCCAGCCTCTTACACCAATGAACAGTCATCAGCAAAGGTGCTGTTACTATTCATCAGCTGTGGATCACTGATGTGTTGTTTTAGACATAATTGCCATAGCCTCTTAGTTCATTTCGGTAGTAATCTGCTCTGCTGCAGCATATTGATCATCCATCACTTCTTTAAAATCTATGGCACATGTGCTCCACAATGCTCATCCATTTATTTTGTAAAATGTCAATCTGCCAGTCATGGTACACTCTCACCTTAGCAGCAGGTTAACAGTTTATAAATTGCACAGATTCTGAGTCGCCAACTTTGGCCCAAATACCAATCAACATTCCTTCCTGTATTTTGACAAATTGTTCTATTTGCTCATGAAAAAAAGAACTAAAATGTTTCCCAGATACTTATATTATATTTTATACAACATCCCCTCTACTGCTAATACATACTTTATGTGACAGTTTATTTAATACAAATGTCAAATGTAGGAGACAGTAACATTAATCTTACTCGATCCTATATAATACAGAGGGGGTGTTCACACATTTTTGATTTTCTCCATGAATTCAGAAATTAATTTTTAAATACAAATGTGAATTGTATAAAATTGGAATAATGTTTATTTATTGTCTGCAGCACTAAAAATATTCTTTTCTTTCACCCTTTGCGGCACAGTGTGTCTGGTCTGGACATACCTAAAAATTTCTTTCTGTACACACAGAAAAATTGAATGAAAAGGGATTTACAGGTTACTATAGGTTACTCTGAACCTTCTTTATTTATAGTATATGGCAGCTCAACACAAACTAGTCCATATATTTTAGCCGTGTTTAGTTTTTAAGACCCTCATTTTTCAAAAAAAATCTTCCAGATTTTTTTTTAGGGCATAAAAAGAATTGTTTGAAAAGAAATTTCTACGTTATTTTTTTGGTTGTATGCTAATCTCCTTATTCTATCTTAGTTTTAAATTTTTACCTTGAAATCTTGCCTAAAATCAAACGGCGAACCCTAGGTGTGCCCAGACCGGACTCACCGATAATCTAGGACAACTGAGAGTCTGCATTCTTTGTTTCTGCGCATCTCATGGGTCATCATTGACAACAATGCTCGTTTCAGCACTCTTTTTGAAGCTCTATTCAATCAGTGTGCCCAAACAGAATTAAAATGATAAGTGGTATCTTCACAAAATTTTACTTGTGTACTCCTCTAGGCCTAATTAGATTGCCTACCCCCTTTTTTTTATCAAAACTCTGACTTTAAAAGGTAGCGTGCTGGGAAGAGTTAAAATGTCGCTGAAAAATAAAAAAAATGGATTGAAGACTATATTTTTACGCCTGTCCGAAGATAAATACTCTTCTTTAATAATTAAAAAAATATTTCAAAAGCATGGTTTTAATATTTCTACACGTAAAATAAGTGGCATAATTAATACAAAAGGAAAGAAACGTCAAAGTTTATATCTGACTTGGAAAAAGACTAAAAATGCATACCCCACAAAGGTACGTACAACTTTTATTGAATCTAAAGTCGCATCTCATGTTTCAAAGGAAAATCCAGCCCCCTAAAGAACTACTGCAAAATCCTTAGATATCTCTGTAGGAACTGTGAACAAAATTATAAAACCTGATTTAAAGCTAATTGAAACAAAAAAACGTGATGTTCATCGCCTTTCGGCGAAATATGCTTCTCAACATAAGACTGTGCAGATTGCTGTACGAAAATTATTTGGGAGGTTGAAAAATAGATATATAGAGTTACAACTGATAAGGCTTGGATAGTCTTATCTGATTGCAATAGAAACAGATCAATTTACTACCGAAAAAGAGGAGAAAAAGTCTTTATGTTGGTTCAGAGAAAACCAGGAACGTTTTTCTATAGGCTTTATGGTTATTACTGGATTCTCTTAAAACGGAAAACTTAAAATAAGAAGGGAGGAAAAAAATGTCAAAATTAATTCGGATTACTATCAGAAATATGTCTTAACACCTATTTTTAAAGAAAAAATTCCATCTCTTTATCCAAACAATCTTCACTGTATTGAATTCCTTCAGGATACGGCTCCAAGCCATACCTCTGAATCTACTGCTCTGAAAGGTGATCACATTAAAAGTGATATTGGTTTATCTGACTCCCGGATATGAATGAAACATCGTTTGATATAAAAATATATTTTATTCCACACATAAGAATTAAGACTCGTACCGGGAGCATTACATAGAGTCTTTTTACTCCAACGGCACCTGCCAAAAGAGGCTGTGAGGCAAGAGAGAATATGTGACATAATAAATAACACGTGATGTGCCTCTCTTGTTGATTGCAGCGCCTCTCACTCACACTATGATATGCTACAGCTCTATTTTTTGAAAAAATGAGAAATGAAACTGGAATTGAAGCTATTCCCTTTAAATACATCCTTCCCAAGTCCACTGATGTGTCTCCTACGGATTACCATGCATTTGGACTTTTAAAACAAGCTCTTTATAAGCGGCATCCCAAAACATTGGATGGACTCAGGAAGATCATGAAGAAGTAGAATAAAATCAACCTTAATGTTTTAAGAAAAGGACATTTACCTTGGAAATCAAGATTTACTATAACAGTTCAACAAAAGGGCTATCAGACTGAAAATATTAGAAAATAAAATTCTAAGGTTTGTTTATATATAAACCGTTGCAAAAATGTATGTACATCCATCACTAGATCAATTTGATATGTAAAACATTATGATTTGAAAGACAAGACAAAAACAAAAAACCTGTATAATTGACAAAATCTTTTAAAAATGGCACTTTGTCTAGTTATCTTGATGATTAACACTGCAGCAGCATAACAGAGAGTGACAATAAAAACTATTATGCTATAAACTTGTTAGTGAACAGCACACTTCCAATATAGTGTACTCAATTTACAAAGTGAACAATTTTAAGAATTAAGCATGTGAGAGATTTTCGAAATTTACCATTTGAAAAGACCTATTTATATACATATAATTCTTTTGGTTTCGTATCTTGTAGCACAATATGTTTTTGTTCTACACATAAGGAAATCATAGGTCACTTCAAGTGCAAATTAGAATCAAGTCAGAACAGATTAAAAGGTGGAAAAAATTCAAATAAAACCTTTTCTTTTTCAGTTCCTAGCAATTTTCTATCATCCCTATTCTTTAACTTGCCCGGAGCTTCAGCAATTGGTAGTGTCGAGTGAAAGACAAACAATTTCCCAGCACATTCTGCTGCCTTAAAAAAAAAAAAAAAAAAAAAAAAAAAATTATGCAATGTGTTACATTTACAGAATTTTAATTAAAATTGATACATTTTAAAACTGAGAAGAAAATTATACTTACTCTCAGAGCTTCCACTCCAGCTTGTATTGCAGGACCTAAAACTGTTTCTGTTTCTCTTGTTTCAGCAAACATCAAAGGAATTTGCTCCATTAAACTATGTGAATAGAAAATCCAGATTAGACAATTACAAAATTAAACACAAAAGAAATTTTGTACATAGCTTTTTTGCTAATGAATAAACAGCCAGAATTCGCCAATCACCTTAGTATAAATCGTATTAATCAGATGGAGCATTATTAATAGAGCATAAATAATGGCAATTACAGATATAAAAAAAAATAAAGATATGCATATGTTAGTAAGCACAAACATTACTTTTAATCACACTTTGTTGTGTAATATATAATTTCAAATATTTACAGATCATATACTACATAGGTAACATTTCTGAAATCTGACAGTTTGCCAGAACAAGTAGATGATAAATAACTTGTACTGTGGTGTAAGGACATGAAAAACAAAGAGACTAAATTAAAACCAAATCAAATGTAAAAAATGAGGATTTGTTTTGAAAATAGGACTAGTTTCTATCACGGAATAAAAATTTAATAAATGGAAAAAAAAAAAAAGAATACAACAATCATCAAATATTTTCTGATTTTGATACAGGTCGGCCAGAATAGCTCACAGTGCGATTTCATTACCCCAGTCATTTTAGATATAGGTGGAATTGTAAGCAAAAATATTTAGAAAGTGGATTGTATATATATTCTGCACGAGTTCTCATTTCATTAAAAATTTGAAGCATTTTATTCCTTTCAGAAAAGAATTACTGCTGCTGAAAAATGTAAAGTTTAAAAACACATTTACTTAATTAGAAAGTAAAAAAAAAAAAAAGTATATTACCTATCAATAACATGCTCTGCTTTCGATATGTTTACAAGAAAACCATCCAAGAGGGGCATGAACATATCATGAACATCGGATACAACTAACATTTGAGGTTGTGCCAAATTTTCCTGTCATAAAAAATAGCATAGATTTTATAACATTTATTATATAAATATCAAATGACAGATTAGACAATTATCAAATTATTAAAAATTCACTACAGTGATGACTGAAATGGAAAAATGTAATAGAATAGATACAGATCAGATTCCTCCACTGACTATGAGCACAATAACAATAAGTACATTAAAAATCTAAAAAAGCTTACACTTATGTTATAGAAGTGGATAACAGAACTGTAGGTCACAAATCCTACTCGTATTTTTGATTCTGAGAAACTCAGGTCTCTATAATAATTTATAAAAATAGATGCATGTAAATTTCATAATCAAAAGATGAATGCAAATAATCATACTAAAGGAAAGAAAAAAATTAATTACCTAGGTAATCCAGAGAGGACACTTTTCATGTTATCACACAGAGTTTTTACCATTCCACTTCTTATACTGTTATATGATACATCAATCACAAATATGAAAGCAGGACAGTTTGGATATTTTCCTTCCTGAAATATATTGGAAGATTTTAAATTGATATAAAACTAGTTCAGACTTAAATGGTAAATTATTAAAATTTTAAATTAGGATTGCTTATTTCATTGCCCCTCCCTCTGCCAAAAAAGTCGTAACTACCTATAAAATTTGAAATAGTGAAACCATCAATCAAATATTTGCAGGTTTCATAGTGGTGCTAAACTGGCAAATGTTATCAGCTTGATTTGTGCAAAACCAGTTTGTTTCACAGGCATTATGAAAATTAAAATGAGATGTAAAACAAATATATATAATGATGTAAATATACAAAATGGAGTGTCAAGAAATTCGGATACTTGCCTAGCATCAAACACAATAAAAGTTTAACTATATGGCTTTCAACTAACTGGAAAACTCAAGTAGCTCTAGTTAGAATTTAGACATTTTTTTAATGAAGAATTATGCAAATGAGTGAGCTGTAAAGGTATTATGCAGTTGTTGTGGCTAACCTCAGTTGTCTGATCTAATTAAAACATGCCCACAAATTTTATCGTAGCAAGAAGTACAAGATCCTATTTGTTGTTGGCATAAGCCATAAGATGCACCATAAAGGCGACAGCATGATTTTGTTTAGTTCTAACCTAATTTTGAAAGAAAGCAGCTCGGGGATGTGTCTAAGGTTTTCCTACCACCAAAGCATTTGAGAGGACTTTTGGCTCACCATACATTTTGAGAGCACAGATGTTATACACTTACAAACATCCATGCCTTCTCCAATATTCGAACCTAGGCCCTTTGGTATGACACTAAACACTATGCCATATGGGTAACAAAGGAATTATAAAGTACATATAGGACTACTATTTGAAATTGTACTTCACAAACATTTAAAAATGAGACTACATTTAGATGATTCTGTTTCAGAAGATATTGGTACCTCTGCCAGGTGTTATAACCATAGTATTATTATAAGAATTTTTCCTCAGAACTAGACACTGCTCACACACAACTAGCCTGTCAAAACCATTTTTAATTTAAAAAAAAAATACACCTAGATAGTGTAATTTTGCACTAATAATAGATAACTATGATTCACAAATAATCCTAAGACCTTCACCAAGCTTTTATGTAAACCTGATTAATATTTGATAAGCATTTTAATTTTTGTGAAGAAGCATATAAGTTAACTACTACTCCTATTTGTTTGTCCTTTGCATTTAATAAAAATGATTAAAATCGGAGACTTATCTCAAATGGAATAGCATACAGTAGAGTATTATAGGATTGAGAAAAGCTAAGTGAACGGGCACAATATGAGACTTTATTTGAAAGCAAAAAAAGAATGGTGATGCAATTTCAAAAACTGTGATGAAAGAAGAAGATTTATATGGTTAGAAGTTTAATTTTTAACACTAAATTAGGTAACAAAATATGGTACTTGTTCATGTCTTGTTAGGTACCCTAGTAGCAGCCTTTCTTCTTCCAGCTAAATATGAACAAATTTTACTAAAACAGTGCCTCATGCTTTTTGTTTATATGTACGCACTCTCAGCTAAATGTGTTGTTGACTAAATGTCTTATCAGCTAAATGTCCATGTTAATTAAATGTCGTTAGCTAAGTAACCTACTGACTAAACATCCAAGTTGGTTTAATGTCCTGTTGGCTAAGTGTCTTGTCGGCTAAATGTCCTCCGTATCAGCTATATGTCATGTTGGCTAAATGTATGTGCCATTTAAATGTCCTATCGGCTAAGTGTCTGAGACCAGTAAAGAATATAAAATGAAAAATTTCAGTTGATAAAATTAAGTGCACTTGAATTAGGCATCTAACATGCAAAGAAAATATGCTGTAAATAATTAAGGCGAGAAGAGAAAGTTCCTTGGCTTTTACCTTACAATAATCTTTATTGACAATGAATTCATAAGATCCTAAGCATAATTCAGCTCTTTCCATCTTATCAACACGCTCTCCCATGTGGTCCAGATGCGTAAAATAATGCATTGGCACTAAAAAAAGATAAATGTATAAACTAATGCTTAAGATGTTCAATAATAATAATATATATTTTACACATGAAAAATCTAAGTTTTAAACTAGCTTCTAACCCATCTTTCCCAAGCATTCTACCTATATACGTAATTCTGACTTTTCAAAATTTTTAATTTTATCCTGGTAAAATATTACTCAAATCAATGCAAAATAATCATCATCATACTTTTACTGATCAGCTGAAAATGCCTTGAAAATCTCAGTTGTTTCATGTAACTAGATAGCTAAATTATGTTCTCAAGGTATCAACTAAAAAATTATATTCCCTTATAGATTATAACAACAAACTAAAGACAGAGAAAGCAATTCACAAGTCTGACTAAATGAAACTGCAACAGTCTTGGAATTTTATGAATACTGGTACAATTCCAAAGAAATCATTTTTAATTGCAATAATTATTTCTTTACATCACGACCAATAAATTTTTATAGAGCCCACATTTCGACATATATTTTTTATTATAGTATCAAATCCTTAGGTTTTGTTGAGATAACTTCTAAAAAGAAAATTTTTAAACTATTCAAAAAAATTGCCAAATATTGAGAAAAATTAAATTTTATAATTTTTCATAATTGATGGAATAAAATTAAAAGAGCTTTAAACTGAGGAACTGTTGCATTTTCCTACATAACTGTACAAAAATTATAGAATGTGTTAAAATGGCACCAATATTATTAAATATTAATCACATTTATAGTTATGTAACTATAGATAAAATTAACATTTATGCCTTAAACCAGGTTACTTACAATAATATTCACTAGTTCAATAACTATACTCTCTCTGCTAATTCACAACACAGAAATTCTTAGCTTAACAATTAAAATAAGCAATTAAATCAAATTTGGAAAACATACCTTCAGAAGTAGCTTTGCAAAGCATACACTGAAACCTTCGGCCTGCATCTATAAACTGCATGAAAGGACTCATGTAAGCTCGACATCTGTTACATCTTACTGGACCTTCTTCACCTGGATCAACAACAGGTGGAGGATTCTAAATAGAAGAAAATATTAATCATTAAAAGCTACAATTTGTATTGAAATAATGTATATTATCATTAACATATTTACAGATAATACTTATATTGACTCATATTTCACATAAATATACAAAACAAAACACAAGATTATATACACACATGCATGACATAAACTGATATGGTGAAAAGTAAATACGGTCAAAAGTCGTTAATTCGGACTCGTCGGGACTTCGGCGATTCCGGATGATCGATTTTTCCGGATTATAGATCATCAGTTTAAATCTGGTAAAATGGCATGCAGAAATTATAAAATTAAAAATATGAAACTATAATTTACGAAATAAAGAACAATTATGATCTAAAGGGTATCAAAATTTACAAAAAAAAAAGCTTAATATTTATTTGTTTACTTTATTAAACATTTCTTTCAATGTAAGTTGTTTAAGTTGCTTCATTTTTTATGTAATAATACATTCTCTTTAATTCTATAAACAGACATAATTTTTTGTTCAGTTACAAAGTTCCGCTGTTCAAGTCCTATAATTGCTGTGTCGAGAATACCGACTAATTTGTCAATCGAATTTTTTCGTTTTCAATAACCTCTGTCACTTTCTTCGCTATCGGAAGAGAATTATAATAAGGAGGCATTTGATTTAAATCATATCAAAGACGGAGTACAGCGGTGGTGTTAAAGATAAACAAAGGATATGCCTTTATCCATCTTTTGTAGCAATTCCACTTTTTGTTTAATGGACTCAGATACTTTCGCTTTGTATATCCTTTACATATTAGTGAATATATATGGGAAATTCTATTTGACATAATCGAAAGTTCAAGCTTACTTTTATAAAATTGCTCTAACAGTCTGCAAAAAATAATAATCCAAATCCAATTCGAAGATTAAGGAACAACGCAATCTGCAACATTAACTGAAATAGATAATTAGATAATTTTAGCTTAGCTTATCCCGTCCGTTATACATTAAACGCGCATTCGTAAACGTATTTTGCGCACGCGCACACACAAATTCGCAGCGGTAAAGGTCTTTGGTAAAGGCATCAGCTTTGAGGTACGGATTGTAGATCATTCCGAATTATGGGTGTCCGAATTAACGACTTTTGACTGTATATAACCTTAGTAAAGAAAAATTATATCATCTTATAATAGAATTTTCCCTTTAAATTTTTTCCCCTTAAATCAAAATAACATCTACTGTTGCCAACTTATGAAACTAAATCTTTATCGTTGAAATGAATTAAAACTAAAAAAAAAAAAAAAAAAAAAAAAAAAAAGTTTAAATTTCAAAAGTCCAGCATTTCCTCAACATTTCTTTTTTGAATGTAAAATAGTAAAAAAATCAGAAAAATTTCAAAATATTAAAAACATATGATATCATTTGCACAGAACAGAAAATACAGAGAAAGAAGCCTGCAATTTGTATATTACTATAAAATTTAATCATAACCGTTATTCCTATTTTGAATGCAGATAAAAAAAGTGAGTAAGAAATCTTGTAATCAATCAGGAATGTATTTTATGCATAACATTCATGAAATAAAACAATTTGCTGCAAAATGTTGTCAAAAAGTCCATATGAAATTACTTTATAAATTATTAATTTAACACAGCTTTGAGAAATGCACTTTCAAATCAACAGTAAATGAAATATCTTATACTTTGTTGGCAGGCCATATACAATATACAGGTAAAAGACTTAAGCTAAGTACACAAGGATAGCACTTTGATTAAAGCCTTTGTAATATTAATAATATAAATTTAAAAGCTTTAAAAAATTCTTTAGCTCAAGCTGTTTATGGTGAAGTGCCAGTCACGAGATCTGGACAGCAGAAATTCTCAAAAATTTTATGACTTAGTTATTCAGTGTTTGTATATCCCTATACAAATACTAGATAATACACTAGATACAAACAAATAGACAATACCACTAGATAACACTAATGTATCTGAATTTTAAAAAAATTACTGAACATGGTCAATTTCTTTTGAAATTCAAGTTCCTGCCCATATAGACATTTATGTAGTTTTCTTCATTTGGGGAGAAAAAAAAAAAAAAAAACTTTTTCCATATGGTACTTCCAGGTTACAGTGCAGCTTAATATGCCACAGCTTCAAGTATTATAAAGGTTGAAATAGAAACACATCAATAAATTTTTTAATTAGGCAAAGAAGCAATCTTAGATTGGAGCAGATTTTTAATAATGTTTTATTTCTACCAATTTCACGGGAAACCTGTATGTTTTGTAAAAAAAAAAAAAAAAAAAAAAAAAAAAAAAAAAAAATTATAAAACATAACATATCTAACATGGTTTCCCTTTGCATAGTTATATCTACACATAATCACATGCATATACTTTGTGCTTGCTATTTATTGAATTTTGTACTTTTTGATTTTGTTATTTACTTATGTAATATTTCGATAAGAAATGCACAAAAATAGTTTATTAAGTTCATCATTAAATACACAATTTCTTCAATTCTGTGTGAATATTTCATTTTTTTCATTGGTGTGCTCTTAACTTTTATTTATCATACATATGGAAGCATTATTTATATCATTTCCTGTGTAATGCTGAAGAACATTCTGTAAAGAGCAATAGCAGACTGTACAATCTGCAGTAACTTACTGAAACTAAATTCTGCCAAGAATTTTTTTGAGGGGGGGGGGGTTAATATATTGTAGGCTGAGCAGACACCATTTAAGCTGATCATGCTTCATTGAATACACAAAAGATTAATTTAGAATTCAAACAACAAAAATCAGAATTATATTTGCAAATTTTCACAGGACTAGTTTCGATGGTTTTACCCATGGAGGTAAGAAAGGAAGGAATGGCCAGCTCAGCACTAAGAGTGAAGCACGGCTTCGAAGTTTCAGTCTCCAGATGAGGCGTTTTGTTTTTTGTTTACATTAAGAAGTTCCCTTGACAGCGTTTAATATTTCGACACACGACAATTCCATACGAGTAGAAAAACGGGGCATTTCCACATAAAAGAAACATTCACTGTGCGATGGATAATAGCAGTTTGTATAGTTTAGTGGCATTTACAGAAAAATCACATCTTGGTTATTTTTCGATAACTAACAACAATGTTTTGATTATGAATTTGTTTTATAAAATTCTAAGCTGTTGAACTACAAAAATATAGATTTTAGCTAAAATGTTAGGCTTAAAGAATGAAAAATACCTTACGGTACCTTTCAAATTGTATACGTCTTTCGATATCCTTGATAGAGTATTCACTACTTTTATTTTATGTTTCAAACGCCAAAATGTTTTAAATAAAATAATTTTTCTGTCATCCACATATTATTGTGGCATGTATTTTTTTAAAATTTTTAGAGGATAGGCTTTATAGTTGCTCATTTTATTTTTATATAACTTAAAAACACTTTAGGTTTACACGTTTAAAAAATAAAATTACCGCCAGATGCTGCAATCCTCATCAAAATTAATAAATATACACACAGATATGCCCATAAGTTAACTTTTCCTTGATTTGTAACCACACATTTGTGTAAAATTATGTACAGTTTTACACAAATGTATGGAACAGAAGACGAATATATTTTCGAATTCGGCGGAAGTACCATGTGCGGTCAAGATGATGTGACCATGTAAATGTGCCAACATCATCAAGACAGCTTATAAAGAATTTGAAAATAGGGTAATCGACAGAGGTGAAAACATTCGTGTATCCTGCTAAAGGAGGTCCAATCATGAATGGTCCTCTTATTGATTCCAGATTGTTAAATGTTTCCCCTGCAAGTCTTTTATAATTTATTATATTATCAGAGAATTATTAAACTGTGTAAAATCTCTAAAAGAGGTATTGAGTGCTCTACCAAAATATACTTACTAGAACATTTGAATTTGATGATGAATGTATCCTAAGACGTGTTTTAAGTCAAAAGTTTGAAACTTTATGGCTAAATGTAAATATAAAATTATGCATGTTAAAATATTTGTAATTAGGCACATAGGTCAGGTTAAGTTTTTATTGAATACAGTAAGGCATGCAAGGTCTATCTGCCTAAAGGGGAAAATGCCATCGTGGAGAAATTTCGAAGAAAAACTGACCTTCTTACTGAGTGGGTATTAAAAATAATGCATGTAATTTTCATTCAAATTATGTTCATATATATTTCTTATGTAAAAATTTTGGGTATATGCTAAATTATAGTAAATTACTTGAAAAATATAGTGACTGCACAGAAATTAAAGATTTGCACATGCCGGAAATGAAAAGTATGAAATATGTATAGGTATTTTTATGCATATGCTTGCAAAATGCATGTATCTGCCTTTAACAAAATACGTAAATATTTATTAAATTATTTATAAATGTATTTGAAATGAAGGATTTATTCATTCATAAACACCCATGAAAGTTACTGTGAAGAATTTAATTATTAAATGTATCTAAATTTATGACGATTATAAATATTATCTAAATATATAATAACATTAACACTGAATTGTAAACTTAAGTTAAAATCCTGCTGACAACATTACAAAACTATTTAAGCAAGAATTGTTCGTACTGGAAAGCAATCTCTTAAAAGGTATTGTAAAGCAAATTCTACAAATACATTACAAAACTATTTAAGCAAGAATTGTTCGTACTGGAAAGCAATCTCTTAAAAGGTATGGTAAAGCAAATTCTACGAGATGCATACTTAAGATAGTAATAAAGAAGAGTCTTAGAATATGTACTGCTGAAATTATGGGTAAAAAAAACCTGATAAGTTTAATTAAAAGAATTATTCCCCTTGCATTTTATAGTAACTCAGTTGCAAGTTTTAAATATTTTTAAAAAATCCCTTTTTTATTCCCTTTCAGAAATATTCAGAGAAAATTAAGTACTATTTAATGTATTTTGCTACTTAAATAAAAGTTGCTCAACTTGACATGGACTGAATAGAACATTAATTATAAATTGACTTAGATTTTTCAACTTAAAAAATGCCTCAGAAGTTAAAAAATCATGTCATATTTGAGAAAATATTTCAGGAAGATGCTCTATAAATAGAAAATAAATAATGCATAATTTTAATATTAATAATACAATAACCTTTGATCTTAATTTTTGTAAACCTTAACTGAATAAAATCGAATTACGTTAAATTTTTTTCCTAATGTAATTAAGGAAAACTTGTGAAAATTTTTCATTCAAATTAAACCGTTCTGAGCAAACTGTTCTGTGAAAAGTATAACATTTAATTCCATTCAGAATGAAATGGGTGTTTAAAAATGTATGCTTTTCATATACTTAGGACTCTGAAATATCGTAGAAAAAGAAAATATATGCATTTATATGTATATTTACGACATAATTACAAAATATTTTGTACAAAATAAATATACATTCGATCGCGTCAAAACCCATTGAAACTTAATGGTAAATGACCCAATGCTTTGGTCACCCCGAAGGGATCGCCAGTGCTTCAAAGCAGTGTATAGGGGAAACCACTTAGGGCCACTCCATCTTACTTCCTACCTCCATGGTTTTAGTGAACTATCATCCACAGCTAAGGCAAATTATATTTTTAGACTTTCCCCCTTCATAAACGAATTTTGGTATTTTAACAAGTAATTAATGGTTAACATATTTGTTTAGTTACCCAACAACTTTTCTATGAATGCAAATTGTTGCTACGCATCTTTGGCACCAAGCAAAAATCCCAAATTCACACGCTTTACTTTTTTACCTTTTATTGTTTGAGGCATGGCACGGGCAACATACTATATAAAAGTATCACCCAACACTTTACTTAGCACAGAAATGTTTTTCTCATATGTACAATAATTCTAGTTTATTATCTACTTTTTTTATCTATTTATTGAAATAAAATTGGTTATAAGAATTTTTTTCAGTCATTTCAAAGAAATCAAAACTAATTCATAAATACCAAGCACTAGAACATAAAATGACTCACTTCCCCATCATGAACTTGGGCAAATGGACTTACAGCTAGAGCAAATGGTACAGATGTTTGTTTCAACATCTCTGCTGTAGTAGGCACATTATAAATTGTTGATCGAATAAATCTTGGACTACAAAGACCTAAATGTACATAAAAAAAAAAAAAAAAGAAAGAAAAATAAGCAAGGGAAAGTTAAATTGTGCAATAAAAGGGTGAATCAAAAAGTAGAGGCAAATTCCATGCTGCACCTTTATTTATAGTACTTTTGAATAACTGAACTCGTATACATAGCTTTACATCAGGCCTATGCACTTACTGCATCATTTATTTCACTAGCCTTTTCATTCTTTTAGAAAAGTAATTTTTCTTCTACTCTTAAAGCCAGTTTTACACCAATACCATCAGATGGATGATGCTTGAGAAACCACTTTGCACAGGTTTTATGATGGCAGTTATTGTATGCTATGTCTTTAGCAAATTAAGTAGCTAATTTCCAAGTGTGCAGGAAATTCTAAGAATGATTAAGTTATCAGTTTTCTTCAACAAAGGCATCAGACCACTGGACACAAGCACCCCTGCCTGATATTGACAGCTGACCATATTAATCTACCACGGCTATATTTATTCCTATTTTAAATGAAAAACAATATAGTACACTTAAAGACTTTTGATGGTGTAATTACGAAACACAGCATCCATGCATCTACTCTTACTGCTACCTATTACTCTAATGAGCAACTAATAGCTGTGTACAGCTGAGTAAGGCTGCCCATCAACTCCTTCTTTCAGTTACCATGTATATTACAAACTGCCTTTATTTTTTGATTCACCTATATATTTGTTTTCAATCAATAATTTTTATTCGTTCATTTAGAATTTTACAAAAAAGAATAAATGTTATTCAAAATCAAAATTGCAGTTTTAAATATTTTTATCAACAGATGAGATCACAAAAATCTGAAGATGCAGATTAGTAGTAAGAGCATAAATGATGCAAAGTACACAATAAATACAATATTTTATCAATTCTTTGGTATTGATTATAACCGTGTTTTGACTATTGATATTATTTATAAAGATTTACATCCTGACAAATCAATACTCTCAGAAAATAACAAATACTTGCTAAAATATAAACATTAGCATAAAAAATCTCTTTCTAAGGCGACTACCTCTAGAAAAGATCAAAATTTTTTGGAACTATGGATGACTGTCTTAAGAACACTTCACTATATTTTTTATATTAAACAGGTAAACATAAATAAAATATGAATGCACTTTCAACAGAATTTCAGAATACTAGTCAGAAAATTAGAAGTCTCAGATTTTCAGATCCATGAAGTTCTCCTTTACAAAAGTTAGGAGATTGATAAAATTAAAAATACTATTTTTATTAAAGAGAATTCTACAATATTCCACTATGAGAAACTTCTTAAAGTAGAAGAAAACACGCAAAACAGAAAAGTCCAGTTTTTTTACAAGGTTTCCCCTCCCCATAAAGGAAAGTTGTGTTTCTCCTTTTTAGGTATAAATACATATACTTTCACTTTTTCCGTCTCTCTAGAATAACTTGATATTTCTTAAAACTCCAGATTCTCATCTACTGACCAATGTTGCAGGATTCATGTTCTAGGGCGGTAGGACACTCAGGTGACAAGACACTTAACAGGCAGCAGTTAAACAACATGACATTTAACTGACGAGGGCACTTAGCCAACAAGACATTCAGCCAAAAGGGACAATTAGTCGAAAGGATATTTAGCCAACATGGACAGCTAGCCAACAGGACAATTAGCCAACACGGATAGTTAGCTGACAGGGAATTTAGCCACAGAGCATTTAACTGAGACATTTAGCCAACACATACCTAATAATTATTTAAACTTACTAGCAATTACAAAATTGCTTGAATTCTCCATGAGGTCAATATTTAAGTAATTTTTTCACCTATCAGTAAAATTCATTTTTTGATTCTTAGAGTCCATACGTGCTTTCAATTGTGTAATTTAGCATCCTTTGATATACAGGATGTGATTCAAAAGTTTCAAGACTTACCTCAGAACTAGAAATTTATTGGACATTTATGCACAGCCGACTAAAATTCTTCAAAATATGATCCTTCAGCATCAAACACAGTGCTGCCAGTGTGTCTTCCACTGTTCGTAGCCCTTCTGGAAGGCTTCGGGCGTCATGCTGTCAAGGGCTCTCGTCGAAGTCTGCTGGATAGCGTCGCTGGAGTTGAATCGTTTCCCTTTTAGGCCTGCCTTGATTCGGGGGAAAACGAACAGGTCACTTGGAGCCAAGTCGGGGCTGTAGGGTAGGTGTAGCAGTGTTGTCCCGTTGAATTTGACCAAAACTTCGACGGTGGCACGCGATGAGTGAGCGGGCGCATTGTCATGGGTGGAGAATCCAATCGCCCTTGATCGCCGGGCGGACTCGATCACTCAAGCGGCAGAGTACTCCAGCATAAAAGTCACCTGCGACAGTCTGTTCACGAGCAACAAACTCCCTGTGAATCACTCTTTTACCATTAAAAAAAAAATCAGCATGCATTTGAAGAGAACCCTTGACAGCATGACGCCCGAGGCATTCCAGAAGGGCTACAAACAGTGGAAGACGCGCTGGCAGCGCTGTGTTGATGCTGCACTTAAATGTCCAATAAATTTCTAGTTCTGAGGTAAGTCTTGAACCTTTTGAATCACACCCTGTACATAATGTGGTTTGGTATGCATCGGCCAAAGAGAAAAAGCATTGAAGTTTCTCTTCAGAAAATATGAATTGTTTGTTCAAAAGGAATACAGAAATAAAGAATATTTTAAGCTAATTACAATGGGTCACTGAATTACATTTTGATTTGGGATCTGCAAAAGTTATCTGTAAAGCTCCTTCATTTAGTTGACTGGATTCCTTTGAACACTTCACATTATTAATGATTTTTCTTGTTTACTTAATGACATTAATTTTTCAATCTCACTCTTTCCAACAGTTTCAAATTTCTAATATCTTCCCATTTCATCACTATTTTGCTTGACAGATTGTGCTAAATTCCATCCTATATAAATCTGTTTTGCTCCTCCCACTATTGAAATTTCTTTCACTTTTAAGGAGTAGAGTGTCCATTTTGCTTAACCCACGAAAAGCCTTTTCAAATGAAAATTGCACTTTTAGGCTAGACATAAATGCAATGCTAGAAAATGAGAAGTTCCAAATCTGAATACCAAAGTAAAAATTATTCTTATTCTTGAATTATGCTTTTAATGGAAATATTGGCAGTGGAATGTTAATTTAGCAATTCTATTTTGTTTTGTTATTAAAAAATAATATAAAAGAAAATTTTCAAGATTATAGTAACTGACAAGAGATGCTTACAAGTCATCATCATTGTCACCAGGCAGTTCATTCCACCTTTCTTAAGACAAAAAAAAGCAACTCCATTAATGTGTCAGAATCGGGCATACCCATTTGCTACGATTTTTACCTACCCCTTTAAGATACAACTTCAAAAGTTAATATTCAGACAGCTGAACTGTTGCATAATTTTTATTTAGGGAAAAATTATTTTTCTGTATACATATATACACATGCTTGAGTAAGTGTACTACTGTACATACAGTGGTGGCCAAAATTGTGGACACTTTTGGAAGTTTTTATGTTTTTGAACTTGTAGAAAATGTTCCGTTTCGCAAAATGCAAACGTGTACATATCATTTTAAAGAGAATTTATTACTGAATCCAATACAAAACACAAAAATTCAATTATTTGCAATACAAAAAAAGTTATATGTACTTTAATATAAATAAAAAAACACAGTTATGAAGTGGTTTGTAATGTCTAGCTTTCCTGGCCAATCACTGTTCGTGTTCTGAGAACCAATCAAATGTTAGTAACTGCCAGTAGAAGCTAACATCATGTTTACACTTGAAACAATTTCGTTATTTTGCTTTGTTCTGTAGAAGGAGGACCTGTTTCTTATAAACTGCAATTACAAGTAGGAAGTTTTGTAAAAATTTTTAATATTTAGTCAAGAAGAATTGACATCAAATAAAAGAGTAGATTGGACACCTAGAAAGAGATGTAATATTATTGTTATTCAATAAAAAACAAAGAAGGAAAAGGCCGAAAAAGGTGCACCACATCTATTGATGACAGAAGAATAAAAAGACTATGTCTCCAAGATAGAAAAATGTCATCAGCGGCCACCAGAAGTGATCTGAATGATGCTGGTGTTTCTGTCAGTTCAAGAACAATCAGAAGAATATTAACAGATGTTGGACTTCCACGAAAAAAGCCTTATCTTAATTTTCAGCAACGAAAAAAAAATACTACAGTTGGCAAAGGAACACATTAATTGGACAGATGATCAGTGGTCACAAGTTATATGGAGTGATGAAACTAAGATATTGTTATTCGGTAGTGATGGGCGAAAATATGTAAGATGTAGAATAGGAGAAGAGCTACATCCTGACTGCATTCAAGCAACTGTGAAGAACCCAGTTAATGTTATGATTTGGTCATGCATGTCAGCAGATGGTATTGGTAGCCTTCATGTCATCGATGGGACACTGAGTGCCAGAAAATACATTGACACTACTCTAGAACCAAACTTCTACCTTCCATCAGAGATCTCTTTCCCAACAATGCTTCGTTTATTTTTCAGCAGGATTCTGCTCCTTGCCACACGGCCAAAATATCGAAAGAGTGGTTTCGTACAAAGAGTATTAAATTGTTGTCATGGCCAGGAAACAGTCCTGACCTCAATCCTATCGAAAATTTGTGGCACCGTTTGAAAACTCTTGTCCGAATGAGGCGCTCATCCAATAAAAGGGAACTAATTGAGGCTATAATTGTTTCCTGGCATCATGTAATAATGAAAGAAGAGCTTAAAACTCTTGTCAGCTCAATAAAATGTTGATGTGAAGCTGTAATCAAATATAAAGGGTACCCTACTAAGTACTGATAACTCACTGCAATCATCTCTATCTAATGTATATCGATAACCATTATCGTTTAACTTTTTTTGTATTACAAATTATTGAATTTTGTGTTTTGTATTCAATTCAGTAATAAATTCTCTTTAAAATGATATCTACAAGTTTGCATTTTGTGAAACGTAATGTTTTCTATAAGCATACAAAGTTC